GCCCTGGCACCTGCAGAACTATGGGGGAAGCAAACATTAAACAGCGTACACAGTCTTTTAAAGATTTGTTTGTTTTTATTGGTAAGGCAGATTTACAGAGAAGGAGAGACAAGGAAGGTCTTCCATCTGCTGGTTCACTCCTCAAGTGACTGCAACAGCCTGAGCTGGGCCAAAACAAAGGCAGGAGCCAGGAGCTTCACTGTTCTCCCCGATCCTGGACAGTGAACTGGATAAAAAGTGGAACAGCTAGGACTCAAACCAACACCCATATGGAATGCCAGTGCTGCAGGCAGAAGCTTAGTGTACTATGCCATGGTGCTTTTAACCCTGGCTCAGTATGGATCTAAACTTTTTCCCATATTTTTTCATTGCAGAGCTGAAACTGACTGGCATTTATGCAAGTCTTTACTGAGTATTAATATCAAGACTAGAATTAGGATTATCTTAGGTGGGGCGAGGGGGGTGCAATATGGTGACATAGCATACTAATCCCCTGCTTGCAATGTTGACATCCCATATGGGCACTGGTTTGTGTCCGCCTGTTCCATTTCCCATTCAGCTTCCTGCTTATGGCTTAGGAAAACAGCAGAGCATAGCTCAAGTCCTTGTGCCTCTGCACCCATGAGGGAGACCTGGAAGAAATTCCTGGCTCCTGGCTTCAGATAGACTCAGCTGTGGTGGTTGTGGCCCCTTGGGGAGTGAATCAGCAGTTGGAAGACTTTTCTGTATCTTTCCTTCTATCTCTGTAAAATCTGCTTTTCAAATAAAAATGAACATGTCTATATTTTTAAAAAGGTTATTTTGAGGGGCTGGCTGCTGGCTTGTAACCATAGGTTAAACTGCCCTTTGCAAGGTGCCTGGGAAACGGCAGGTGGTGGTCCAAGCACTTGGATCCCTGCCATCCAGTGTAAGACCCAGCTGGCATTCCTGACTACCACCTTCAGCCTGGCCCAGCCTGGGCACAATAAACCAGCAAATCAAAGATGCCAATCTCTCCCTCTGTTCCTCTCCTCCCCCTCTCTGCTCTCAGACATTGTGCTTTTTAAATAAGTATATACGTGTATATAAAAACAATTACTTTGGCACAGATGTTTGGCACTAGGATGCGTAGAGTGCTCGGGTTGAACCTCTGGCTCCGCTCCTGACTCCAGCTTCCTGCTGTTGTGCACCTTGGGAGACAGCAGGTGACAGCTCGGGCTGCGTCCCTGCCACTGGTGAGAGAGCCGCAGTGGCTGTTAGGAGCAGCTAACAGATGGGAATAAATCAGCAGATGGAAGCACACATTCCCCCCACCCCCATCCCAAGTGGGCAAACAAACAAAAAATTATTTCTTCGGGAGAAGCGTTGTACTCACTGTGATTAGGCTGATCATGATGAATCTGCTTGTTCAGTAAAATTGATTGAACATCCTTTGTGTCAGGCATTGCAATAGGCTTATGGGGACAGGGTGATAAAGCAGGAAGGGCTGCTGACTTAGGATCTCTCTCGTATTCGGATACTATCCTGAGCCCAAAGCAGCCTTCTTTAGATAAGAACTTTGGCAGGGATCCAGCCTGCCGACCGAGATGAGAAAGTTCACTTGTACCGTAGCCCACACCAGCCATGGCAGCCCTGAAGGAGAGGCCTCCAGGGTGTGAGAGTCTCCTACCTTGAGACAACAGAGGCTGGGGAGGCTGGGCATCACTGCAGTTTGACTCTCGGACAATAACCAGGCTCAGGCATGTGGCAATACAAATATACAATGTTGTTGGAACCTTTTGCCGGGGGAGGAGGCTGTTGGGACTGATAGGATCTCTGAATTTTTATTTATTTTATTTTAATAAATTACCACCTCAATACAGAGGATATGACTTTTTAAGAAAAGATTTATTTTTTATTTCGAGCCACAGTAGCCTAGTGGCTAAAGTCCTTACCTTGCACGCGCCGGGATCCATATTGGTGCCGGTTCATATCCCGGCTGCTCCACTTCCCATCCAGCTCCCTGCTTGTGGCCTGGGAAAGCAGTCAAAGACGCCCAAAGCCTTGGGATCTTGCACCTGCATGGGAGACCCGGAAGAGGCTCCAGGCTCCTTGCTTTGGATCAGCATAGCTCTGGTTATAGTGGCCACTTGGAGAGTGAATCAATGGGTGAAAGATCTTCCTCTTTGTCTCTCCTCCTCTCTGTATATCTGAATTTCTAATAAAATTTTTTTAAATATGTATTTTTATTTCAAATGCAATTACAGAGAAAGAAGGAAACACAAAGAGGTCTTTCATCCACTGGCTCAATACCCCTCCCACCCCAAATGGCCACAACAGCTGGAGCTAGGCCACTCAGAAGCTGACAGCCAGGAACTTCTGGGTCTCCCACATGGGCACAGGATCCTGAGCACTTGGAACATTTTCTGCTGCTTTCTCAGGCACACTTGCAGGGAGTTGGGTCAGAAATGGAGAAGCCAGGATTGGAACCTATGCCCATATGGGATGCCAGTGGCACAGGCTGAGGTTTAACGTACTGTGCCAGAACACTTGGCCCCCTGTCTCCAATTTTTTTTAAAGTAACTTGGAAATCATTCTGCCACTTCCTGATTTCTAAGGCTATGCTATTCATCTTTGACAACTTCTTTCTAGGTCCTCACTTCTAATTAATCACCAGTCCTTACCTGTCCAGTCCTGAAGATCTCCTCTAATGAGATGAAGCTCACCATTTAGTTCCCCTGACTTCCTGTGGTTGTTTTCCTGGAACAGTAGTTTCAAATTAGGGGCAGTGGTGGGTTTACATTCTAGCACAACCACTTATCTCCCAGGACCGATCTTTGCAGGTCATAGAATGGCTACTTTGGATAGCTCTGGTCTCAGCCACTATTATCTCCCCTAGGGGGTGGAGGAGACTTTCTGAGCCATGGGATAGCTTCAGGAAAATTGCTTTAATATAGAGAAAATAGTACTGCTTTGCCAAAACCTTTGAATAGCATAACCTCACTGCTAAGATGAAATATGAAGCCCGAGCCTGTTTGTAGCTCGGCGTGCTGTAGGGAGGCAGCACGTGCGGGGCAAGGAGGCAGTCTTCCTCTGGAGTGGGATTTTAGCCATTGCAGAGGCACAACACAGGATTGTATGCAGTCACCTCTTAGCAATATGTGTGTGTGTGTGGCCAGGGATGGGTCCTACAAGGGTCAGGACCCATATCCGGGGTCCTGGATGGCAGGTCCCCAAAGACCAGGCTCGCCTTCCACTGCTTTTCCTAAGGCGTTACTGGGGAGCTGGGTCAAATGAGGAGCAGCCAGCACATGACCCTCACTGCCTGTATGGATGTCAGCTTTACCTGCTACACCACAGTACTTGCCCTGTGTCGCTCTTTAGCATATCTGTTCGTCGTCTTGATGTGTCTGAGCATGCTGTCTACTTAACCCCTTCATTGTGTCCTTTTTTGTGACCTCTCAATGGTTTCTGCTCTTTAAAAAAAAAAAGATTCGTTTATATTTATTGGAAAGCCAGATCTACAGAGAGAAGGAGAAACAGGAAGACCCTCCGTCCGCTGGTTCACTCCCCAAGAAGCCACAACACCTGGAGCTGAGCCAGTCTGAACCCAGAAGCCTCTTCTAGGTCTCCCACACAGGTTCAGGGTCCCAAGGCGTGGTGCCATCCTCGACCGCTTTCCACATGCAGGGAGCAGCATCGGAAGTGGAACAGCCAGGATGCAAACCAGTGCCCATGTGGGATCCTGGCATTTGCAAGGAGAGCACTTAGCCACTGAGCCAAAGTGCTGGGCCTAGTTTCTGCTTTTTAATCTCTGATTATAGCTTCTTCTCACACTGAGAAACTCGTCAGGCCTTGATTTGACTTCTGACCTTATTCCAACTGTTGATATGAAAGTCATGTAGCTTTTGGATTTTAGTTTTCTCCTTCTAAATGTTCTGTTGTGAAGACTTAGTAAGCCGGGCCCGGAGCGGTGGTGCAGTGGTTAAGGTCCTCACCTTGCACGCCCGGGATCCCACATGGGCTCCAGTTCTATCCCAGCAGCCCCGCTTCCCTTCCAGCTCCCTGCCTGTGGCCGGGGAAGGCAGTCGAGGACGGCCTAAAGCTTTGGGTCCCTGCACCCGCGTGAGAGACCCGGAAGAGGCTCCTGGCTTCGGATCGGCATAGCATCGGCCGTTGCGCTCACTTGGGGAGTGAATCATCGGACGGAAGATCTTCCTCTCTGTCTCTCCTCTCTGTATATCCGCCTTTCCAATAAAAAAATAATAAAAATAAATCTTTTTTAAAAAAAAGATTGATCTATCTGAAAGGCAAAGTGACAGATACCTTCTATCTGCTGGGCCAAGGCAAAGCAGGAGCCGGGCACTTCATCCAGCTCTCCCACATGGCGAAAGAGACCCGAGTCCTTGGGCCTTCATCAGGTGCCTTCCCATGTGCATTAGCAGGAAGCTGGATTGGCAGTGTGGGAGCCAGGATTCAAACTGGCATTCTGGTGTGGGCTGCAAGCACCCCAAGTGGAAACGTAACACACTACACCCCAAAGCCTGCCCCTAGTGCTTGTTAGAACATTGTCCAAGGGGCCGCCTGTGAGGTCCTGACAGCCTAGGGGTGGGCAAGGAGGAGAGCATGATCTACAGAGCCGGGATATTGAGGCGTTCCGGAGGCTTGCTGCTCCCTGAATGAAGAGTTCTTTTGTGTCCGCTATGGTCAGGACACACTAGGAAGAACTGTTGGTGCTCATGGAATGCATCAGGGACTCGCTGGGCATCTGTTGTGTTTGAAGCAGTTTGCCAGGAACAAGGGCACAAAAATAGAAGACAACATAGTCCCCACACTTGGGGCCTTACACTGTCTAGAAGAAACTTGCAAAACCTTGGGGAACCTACTGTGGAGAGGCGACCTCCTCTGTCTGGGGAGCGCCATAGGGAGAGTGGGCTCCTTGGGAACACTTGGCACTGCTGCCCCACCTCTCAGATCCCACTGTGCTCCATCGGAGAGCTCCATGCCTTGTTTCTCAGTTCAGTGTCGCTGTTTGTCCCCAGGTGGAAGAAGCCGGGCAGGTGTTCCTGTTGATGAAAAAGGATTATCGAATCTCCCGAAATGTCCGCCTGGCTTGGTTCCTCAATCACCTGCATCAGACCGTGCAGGCCACCCCTCAGGAGTCGCTGGTGAGGCCCAGAGACAGGCAGGCTACCGAGGGCTGGCCCAGAAGAATCTGTCTTTCGGGACAGTGCTGGATAAAGGCAGGGGAGGGGGCAATCCTGAGGGCTGCGAGTGACTGCTGATTTTTCCAGTGTTGTGGGGGGAGACGATTGATTGTAGGAGGTGAAGTCACAGGGCGTCTCATTGTGGATGCAGAAGGCAGGTCCTGGGAAGAAAGGGCCACCTCTTCCTTGACTCCCATCTTTCCCCATCCTGCCTGGCAGCTTCAGTCCGAACAAGAGCTGGAAGTCCTCAGTGTGCTGCCTCCTGGGTGGCAGCCAGATGAAGCCTTAGTCCCAAGGCCATTCCTCCTCGTGCCTTCCACCCGGGTCACCTTCCTGGCTTGGCAGTATCGATTTGTCATTGAGCTGGACCTCAGCCCATCGACAGGCATTGTGGTAAGCGATGGGAGGGAGCCAGAGGGAAGAAAGGATGGTGGGGGAAGGAGGGGAGAGGGGAAGGTTGAGGAATGGCCTCAGCTTGCCACTGTGAGTAGAAGACAGGCTTAGAACGGGGTGACATGTGCTGAAAGGCAGATCCATTCCTTCTGTGGCATTGAATGTGAGAACTTGATCAACCCTAAAGTAGGCATCCTGCTGGCCCGTGGCAGCTGCTGCTTTGTGCGCGGCCTTGGGCCATCCTTTTCTGCGTCTCCTCAGGATGATTCGACGGGGGAGATTCTGTTCGATGAAGTCTTCCATGCCCTATCCCGCTGCCTCTGCGGCCTGCTGCAGCCCTTCCGCGTACCTGGATCTCTCATCGACTTCCAGCCTGAGATCTATGTGACCATCCAGGCTTACTCCTCCATCATTGGCCTGCAGTCCCACCAGGTACTGCACCCTGACCCCAGGCTCGTCCCCTTCTGCCAGACAGCTGACAGGCCACTGAGCAGCAGCAGTACGCTGTCCGTACTGAAACCCACAGTTCTGCTGGCTGCTGCTTATTTGAAAGTCAGAGTTACACAGGGAGAGAAGGGGCAGGGGAGAGACAGATCCTCCTTCACTCGGTTCTCTTCCCCAAATGGCCATAGCAGGTGGCATTGGGCTAGTTCAAAGCCAGGAACCAGGAACTTCCTCTGAGTCTCCCATGTGGATGCAGGGGCCCAGACGCTTGAGCCATTCTCCTGTACTTTCCCTGACACATTAACAGGGAACTAGATTAGAGGTGGAGGAGCCAGGATTCAAACTGGTGCCCACATGGGATTCTGGCACTGCAGGTGGCAGCTCTACCTGCTGGCCTTGAAACCTGTGTCCCACTCATCTGCTTGAGCCTGTCTCCTGTTGACAAGAACCAGTCCCTGTGATCTTTTTTTTTTAAAACATTTATTTATTTTTATTGCAAAGTCAGAGATATACAGAGAGGAGGAGAGACAGAGAGGAAGATCTTCCATCTGATAATTCACTCTCCAAGTAGCCAAAATGGCTGGAGCAGCCTTGATCCAAAACCAGGAGCCAGGAATTTCCTCCGGGTCTCCCACATGGGTGCAGGAACCCAAGGCTTTGGGTCATCCTTGATTGCTTTCCCAGGCCACATGCAGGGAGCTAGATGGGAAGCAGAGCTGCCGAGATTAGAACCAGCAACCATAATGGGATCCTGGCATGTTCAAGATGAGGACTTTAGCCACTGGACCACCATGCTGGACCCAGTCCCTGTGATCTTAAAGGGCATTCCCCTGGTCATGAGGTCAGTCGGTGCTGATTGAGTTTTTTTAACATTTATTTATTTTTATTGGAAGGTCAGTTTTATGGAGAAAGAGAGACAGAGAGGAAAGCTCGTCCATCTGCTGGTTCACTCCCCAAGTGGCCGCAATGGCTGGAATTGAACCAATCAGGAGCCAGGAACTTCTTCTAGGTCTCCTACGTAGGTACAGGGTCCCCAGGCTTTGGGCCATCTTCTATTGAGTTCCCAGACCACATACAGAAAGCTGGAAGGGAAGTGCAACGGTCAGGATACGAATCAGCACCCATATTAGATCCCAGCGCATGTAAGGCGAGGACTTGAGCCACTAGGATTGCTGCGCTAGGCCCATTCAGTGTTGGTTGAACAGATGCTTTTCTGACTTGTGTCAGTCTCTGGTTTGGACCATTGGACATCTGCTTTCTTTGTTTCCCCTCACCTCCCAGTTCTGTCAGATGCTGTGCTAGGGTGCTGACTCATGGCGGTGCCTCCCAACAAGTAGCCTTTTGGAATACTTTTGTGATCCTAAAATACAACAAAGATGTAGAAGCATGAAGAAGTTAAGAAACAGAGCAGGATCATCTCTGAGGCCCCTTGAGCTGTCGGGCTTGCTGACCACACAGATAATGAGAGGGCTTACCCAACTCCCTGGCAGGCTATCTATCACTAGACACTCCTTTTGGAGAACGGCCAAGTCTGTTACTGGAGTATCTCTCTTTGGCTGAGATAAGCCTTGGCCCAGTTTCCACCTCATCTCCTTTTAACTACCCTCCACTCATTGATAGGAGCATGCCTGAAACTGTCCCCGATGGCTGCTCTGTCACCTTAGCTGTCAGACTGGCTTCGAGAGTCAGGAATGCCAGCAACAACCTCTTAGGAGCTGAGACGCACAGTCACACGACCAGTTCCTGCCTGGGTTCCAGGGCAGGGCCCGCCAGCCCTCTGCCTAACTGTAAAGTGGGCTTTTGTTGTTGTTGTTTTTAAGGTTTATTATTTTATTTTATTTTTAAATTTTGTTTGAAAGGTAGATATACAGAAAGAAGGTAAGACAGAGGGAAAGATCTTCTATCCACTGGTTCACTCCCCAAATGCCTGCTGCTGAGCTGATCCAAAGCCAGGAGCCAGGAGCTTCTTCCAGGTCTCCCACGGGGTGCATGGTCCCAAGGCTTTGGGTCATCTTCTAGTGATTTCCCAGGCCTCAAGCGGGGAGGTGGGATTCGAACAAGTGTCCATATGGGATGCCAGTGCCATGAGGGGAAGCTAAGCCTACTACGCCACAGTGCCAGCTTTCTAAAGTCAGCTTTAAATACTGCTGAGGGGGCTTGGTGGTTCTTGGCTACCTCCCTAGACAGGCCAGGCTTGGTAGACACCAACAGCCATGCAGATGTTAATCATTCCAGGCCGGATTCAGTTGGGCCAATACTGAGGCCTGAGCTAAGCCAGACCCAGGAGGAACCATCAGAGGAAGCAGGCAGCGTGCTTGTCCCGATGAGAGTTTGGTGGGGGGAGACAGATACTGAAGAATGTCACTTCAGCCGAATGTGCTAGGGCAGCTGATAAGTCGTGACTCAGGAACACCACGCTGGTGCAGCTAGCCGGCCTGTGGCCACGACCAGGAAGCCTGATGGGTGAATTGGCATTTGAACCAAACCTTTAAGAAGGAGCTAAGGCTAACCAGAAAGGGGGCATTGGGCTTTGCAGACAGACCGGCAAGTCAAGGTGCAGGGCTGTGGAGGCACCGAGCTGCGAGCCTGTGTTCTCTGTCACAGGAGCTCTGCACTTGTTGCAAATTACTTAAAGTCTCTTTGCTGTGCCTTTTCTTTATCGTGAAGGTAGTAACAAGTACCTGTTGAACAGGACCTTCCTCCAGGTCTCCCACATGGATGTGGTGGCCCAGACACTGGGAACTAGCACATGAAGAGGAGGCTGGATCAGAAGGGGAGCAGCCAGGACTTCAGACCAAGCCAACTACACAGCAAGCATGCAGTGAGCCACAGTGAGGAACCACGCAGAATGCAAGTGGACAGACACAGGTTCCGATCTGTACATGGGGAAGACAGGGAGCGAAGCCTGGACTGTTGCAGCCTGGGCCAGAGGAGGTCTGAACAAGGACAGCGGTTGTGTGGGTCAGCCCCCAGCCAGCCTCCTTGTTTTCCTCTTTAGCTCGCTCAAGGTGTGTTCTGCCCTTTTAAGTAATTCTGTGTCACATTTTTAATACCCATCCATTGAAAGATTTGAACAAGACAACTAAAGAGCTGACGTTGCAGTGCCGCAGGCTAAGCTACACCTGCATTGCTGGCATACATATGGGTTTTAGTTCCAGTGCAGTATCCTGCTGTTGCACCTGGGAAAGCAGTGATGGATGGTCCAAGTGCTTGGGTCGCTACTGCTCCTAGAGGAGATAGGAGACTGAAATGGAGTAGCACACTCCTGGCTTTGGTTTAACCCAGCCCTGGCCACTGCAGCCATCTGGGGAGTAAACCAACAGATGACTCGCTCGCTCTCTCCTTCTTTCTATATACCTGTCTTTCAAATGAGTAAATAAACCTTGAAAAGGAAAAAGACAAAACTCACTCACTCATTTAACACTTCATGGAATTTGCCCTTAGTTCCTTACCATCATTCCTTCATCCAGAGTGAGTGGGTAAGCTTTCAGATCCATTCCTTACTGGTTTTCTGTCCTGCTTTCTGAGTGTATACTATGGGCATTCATCTTCCCTTTAAAAAAATTATTTAAAAGTGTTATGAAAAAAGAGAGGGAAAGAGATGTTCTACCCACTGGCTCACACTCCAGTGGGTGGCAGGTGCCCAAACGCTTGGAACCATCTTTTGCTGCTTTTTCCAGGCAATTAACATGTAGCTGGGTCAGAGGTGAAGAACCAGGATTCAGACTGGTGCCCATATGGCATGCTGGCATTACAGGCAGGCTTATACACTGTTGAACAATGTACTCCCCATGTGAGCCTTTTCCTGGGTTGCTAAGTAAGGGCAGGAAGATGTGTCCATGGGAAGAATGAGAGGATTATGAGTCTTAAAATGAGAAAATTTTCTACTCTCAGGAACTGGCCTCTATGTACTTTAAACTCAAGTGCATGGAAAAGCATGATGATGTGGCAAGGCGTGTTAAGCTGTAGCTGCAGTGCCAGCATCCCAGATAGGCATCTGTTTGAGTCCTGGCTGCTGTGCTTCCATGTCCAGCTCCCTCCTACAGTGCCTGGAGAAGCAACAGAAGTTGGCACAAGTGCTTGGTTCCCTGCACCCTCACAGGAGGCTTTGATAAAACCCCTGGCTTTATCAGCTTTGCAAACTGACCCGCCCAAGCCCTGGCCTTTGCAGTTATTTTGGGGAGTGAACCACTGAATGGGAGATCTTGCTCTAATTCTGCCTTTCAAATAAATACATAAATAAAATCTTAGGAAAAGAAAAAAGAAGAATGAGTTAAAGCAAAATAGGCTTTGCCTGACAGAGGTGGGACAATCTACTGACAACATCCTATAACCCAAGATGGGAGGGGCTGAAGATCTTATGGGGCTCCTATGTGGGGTTTTGAGGAAGCCCAATGTGGAGCCCTGTAAGCCTAAGTAAATCAGGACCCAAGATCAAGATGATACAGGACTGAGACCCCTGAGTGTGTCAGTGCAGTGTGCCTGGGTGAAGATGGTCTGTCTGCTGAGGGGCCGTGGGTCAGGAGCAGCCTAGAGGAGCTGTGGAGAATCAGCACAGATGTCAGAGGGCCAGCCTGCCCTGACCATCCCATCCCACTCCTTTCCTTTCCCATGTCTCACAGGTGCTGGTGCAGGGCTGCCTGTTGGACCCTTCCCAGCGGGAGGTGTTCCTGCAGCAGGTGTATGAGCAGCTGTGCCTCTTCGAGGATAAGGTGGCCACCATGCTACAGCAGCAGTATGACCCCCAGAGCCAGGTACGTGGGAGCCAAAATCAGGGGCCTTGTGAAGCTAAGGACGGAGAGTAGAGAAGCAGCAGCCAGATGGGCATGTGGGAGAGGGCAGAAAGGGGCCACGAGCCAGGAGCACAGTGAACTCAGGCCCAGCAGGCTCCCTGCCCAAAAGGGGCACTCTGGTTCCATCTCTGTGCCCTGATTGGTCAAGAGAAAAATGTGCATGCCCAGTCTGAGCTCATCTTCCCCTGGTGGATCTGAGAAGGTGGTCTTGGCTGGCCTTGAACTTTGGGTAGTTTTCCGTACAGTCACGGGTAAAGCCACTTGGCTTTGCTAGATTTCCATGTTTCATTGTTATAAAGATCCTGGAAGTAGCCAAATGCGTGCCAGCTCTGTGTGCTGGAGAGCCATAATGCTGCTTTGTCTGATGTTCAGAGAATTTCAGAACAATGGTAGGAAATAGAAAGGGATTGGCAAAAACTGGGAAGCCCTGCCCCTGGCACCAGGCTCCCTGTCAGCTTCAGCATCTGTGTACCTGCACAGGAGGGAATGTAGTCAGGACTCAGCTGCCTGGTTGCTATCCAGCCTGCAGGGACTGGGTCCTAAACTCCCAGCTTTGCTATTGGGGGCTGGGGAGCAGCAACACCCTCGGTCTCATTCTTTTTTTTTTTTTTTTCTGGAACTTGGGGGCCAGGCGGAAGACCGATCCCCAGACTCGGGGGAACCCCTGGGTCGGAAGGTGGGAGTCTCCATGGTGACCGCTGATCTTGGCCTGGTCAGTATGATTCGTCAGGGCATTTTGGCACTGCAGCTGCTGCCCTCAAACTCCAGTGCAGGTCAGTAGAAGGAACGCTCTTGGGATTGAGGAAGTGGGGTCTCTGGCAGGGTGGAGGGCTCAGCAGAGGGAGGGACCCCAGGGACAAGGATCTGTTTCTTTGCAGAATGTCAGTGTGCATTAGCACTTGAGCATCCCCACCTCACCACCTTGACAGCCCCTGGGACCTGGTAGGAGGTAGTAGAGCACTGAGTACAATACTCAGCCTTCCCAGAGAAGGGAAGGTGCTTGGGGTCTATAGACTTCACCTTACAGGGACAGACACTGAGGTCCTTGGGGTGCTGGCAGGAGGCTCTCTCCTAGGACTGTGGTCCACCCAGGATCTCTGAATCTGAGAGTCTGGTGTCCTGTGCCAGGTATCATTGTCATCACGGACGGGGTGACCAGTGTCCCGGATGTCGCCGTCTGTGAGACGCTGCTGAACCAGCTGCGCAGTGGCACTGTGGCTTGCTCCTTTGTGCAGGTGAGGACTTCCTAAAGAGGCGAGGAGCGAAGTGAGGTATCTCACGGAATCAGGCACAGCCAGTTACTGCGTCACAGGCCATGATTTTCTGGGGGAGGCCAATGACGTAGTTGCCCTGCGTGTCATGTCTAGGGCAGGATAGGTGGTAGTGATGGCAGAGGAACTAGTTTCTGTCCTCTTTCTTTAGATATTGGGAGGCAGCATGTGGCAGTAAAAAAGGATGCAGAATTTAGAATCCAAGTAAGTCCCAATCCCATCTGCCCCCATTAGGGTTTTACTTGCAAAGGTCAGAAAACTCAGCTTAATGTAACCTCAGTTGGGGAAGCTATATATTCCAGAAACAGTAGCTAATTTGGATTAATGGACTGTGAGGTAGGAGGCAGAGAGCTGTGGAAACAAGGCTGGAGGGGTAGGCACAGTCAGGAGCATGAAGAGCCAGCCAGGTCTACCGTGTGAAGGAGCGAGAGCACCATCCCATGGGTGATGCAGGTACTTGTACCTGAAAGGAATGTCCGTGAATGGGTTGATATCTTACAAGGTCACTCCTGCAGGGTGAAGTGCAGTACTGGGGTGGGTCATGTGACAGGTTCCAGGCTTGCCATCTGGTCAAAATATTGAGAAAGCCCAGAAGTGGAGTCAACATGGCTGCAGCTGATGTTTAGCAGGATAGAGAGGGTGGCTGGAGGAGAAGGAGGGTTAAGGATGTCTCCAGGGTTCTGACTATAGTGATGACTCAGCAGTGGGCAGAGCCAACAGGAAGAGAGGCAGCTGGGGTGAGGATAGTGTAATGAATCCGGATTTGTGTAAGCTGCATCTGAGGGCCCTGCAGTTGAGCCTAGTATAGCAGTTAAGAATATCACCAGTGGATCAAAGCCTGGCCTGTCTGAAACCTGCACATGCATACTCACTCACACACACAAACGCACAGTTAGTTCTGTGACACTGGGTACATATCATCCCCAGGTTGGATTCCTTTGTAAATGGTGCTTGTGATACTTCCCACCTCCCTGGGTGAGCGAATACATTGAAGGTACTTAGCGTAGTACATAGTTACTTCTTAAAAGGATGCAGCTATTCACAGCAGTCAACAGCTGCATAGCCAGGAGACATCCCTAGTAGAAAGAGGCTGAGGACATGCCAGGCTGCAGGAGAGAACTTTAGAGAGGGTGTCCCAGAAGAACTTTGGGAAATGCCAGTGTTTTACGAAGAGGGCTCAGCATGGAATAAAGAGAAATGGACAAGAGTCGGGAGATTGGGGTTGGCAATGTGATGCAGTAGGTTGAGTCACCACTTGGGTTCTTGGCATCCCATATCAGAATGCCATTTCAAGTTCTAGCTGCTCCATTTCCAGTCCAGTTTCCTGCTGTTGTGCCTGGGAAGGCAGCAGCAGGCAGCCCAACTACCACTCTCACAGGACTCTCAGTCTTCTGGGTTCAGCCACTGGGGCCATTTGGGAAATGAACCAGTGGCTGGAAGACCTCTGTCTCTTCCCTCTTTCCCTGTCACTCTGCCTTTCAAATAAATACATACCTCTCTTAAAAGAGGGGTGAGGTATAGATTATGTTGTCGGAGAAGTCAGCATTTTTAAAAGAGAAGAGTAATTAACCTTGAGAAATTCATAAAGGAGATCAAGTGAGGTGAGGAATGACAAGTGCCCTCTGGACTCATTGACTCAGGGGTCAAGGACTCTGAAGAGGTGGGGAGGGAAATGATTGCACTGGAGTGCAGAGTGGATGGGAGGAAAGGAAGAGGGGAAAAGTGTTGATACAAGGAAAGTGTTGGTTGTTGAAATCAAGCGGGAAGAGAATGGTAGTCAGAGGGGAGTCCAGGGCAACAGGAGGGATGTTTGTTCTGTTTCGTTTTGTTTTAAGCTGGAGATGAACAGTTTGACAATATGTGGAGGAAAGGGGAACCTGGTAGAGGAAGGTCCCTAAGTTGACAGGAGAGTTCCAGAAACAGGTGGAGGAGGGGCCTCTGGGAGCAGGCAGTGTCCTCCCTATGAGAGTGGAAGGTAGAAGTGAAGGTGTAACTAGGTGTTTGCCAAGGGCCTCTGGTTTTTCTCGGAGGAAACAGTGTGCTGCAAGGACCGAAGGCCAGAGCTTAAGATAGGGCCAGTCCTGAAGGACTCACTCACGGGAGGGTTATGTTTGGATGCAGTGGCAGCCTGCACAGCTGTCCAGGCTGGCATTCCCCATGAGGTCAAAGAACAGCAGGATGGGAAGAAAGGAACGGGACACCACTGTGGGAGATGCCCAGCAGTGTGGAATGTGACAGCGGTGTGATGATGCCATGTGGGAAATTGCAGAAATGAGTGTTCCAGGTGAAGCCAAGGGCCTCCGCGTGTAGGCAGCATGCAGACAGATAAAACGGAGATGAGATGGGGAACTGGGAGACCAGAGAGTAGAAGGAATTGGCCAAAGCAGGTTTACAAAGACCAGCTAGTGCCTGTGGGAACGTGAGGGCCATCACTGTGCTGTCCTGCTCAGCTCAGCATGAAGGAAACCACAGGCATCATGAAAGCAGCCACAGTCAAACACTGTCAAGCACATTTGACTGTGTTCCAGTAAAACTTTATTTGTGAAAGCACGGGATGGGCCAGATTTGGTCCACAGGTTATTTGTCATTTGCTAACTTCTGGTCTGTAGCCCTGGGCCTTGACATCCCCAAAAGCTTGTTTAAAATGCAGAATCCAAGGCCACAGCCTGTACACTCCTGAAGTTTGAGAAATGCTCTTTCTGGAGCCACACTGAACTCTCTGGGAATGACAGCATTCCCAAGGATGAAGCCAACTGCCATGATCTCTAGTGAAGTGGGACGAGGCATTTGATGCTGAGGTTGGGCAGAGGATGGTGCCTAATGGCATGGTGCAGACCTGGGGTCTGTCTGCTACCCACTCTGAATGGCCAATGGGAGCCGCATCCAGCCCAGTATCTTCCTTCCCTGCTGTTCTTTGATCTCCCATGCCCCTGCTGGAGCCACTTTCTCACCTTCTCCAGGTTGGCGGAGTTTATTCTTATGACTGTAGTTTCGGCCACGTGCCCAACGTAGAACTGATGAAGTTCATCGCCATGGCAACGTTTGGCTCCTACCTGTCTACGTGCCCCGAGCCTGAGCCAGGCAGCCTGGGTCTGACCGTGTACCACCGGGCATTCCTCCTCTATTCCTTCCTGCGCAGTGGAGAAGCACTGAACCCTGAATATTACTGCGGTGAGAGGCTGGGACACACAAGGGGCAGGAGAAATAGTACACGTGCCAAGTTTGGGTCCTTGTGGGCCTGGGAGTGCATTGGGGACAGGCTCTGTCCTCTGACCCATCTCTTGGTGGTTTCAGCGAGGCCTTTTCCCCATCCTGCCTGCTCTCCAGGCTCTCAGCACCGCCTGTTTAATGAGCACCTGGTCTCTGCAAGCAGCAATCCTGCATTAGCCCTGCGCCGGAAGAAGCACACTGAGAAGGAGGTGCCCGCTGACCTGGTCAGCACTGTGTCCGTACGGCTCCGAGAGGGCTACAGCGTCCGAGAGGTGACACTGGCCAAAGGTGAGGGTGCCTCACCCCACAGCAATCCCACACATGTCAGAGAATTTGTGTGTGAGAGGACCTGCTGAAACAGAGCGGGGCTGGGGCATGTATGTGTCACACATGGAAGGATATTACAGTGAAAGGCCTGCCTGCTGTTGGAGACACATGGGTTTTGAACTGCCTTCAGGGCTTTGTTCTCCAGGCCCAAAGTAAATCAGCTGAGGGTAGCATGGTGTCCTGAACTTGGCTTTGTTTGCAAATTACAGCTGCAAACTTGCCAGGCTCTGGGCCTGACCCCTGTTGCCTTGTGCTTGGAGTCTCTGGCCAGGCTTCAGTTCCCCAAGGCATGTGGGGACGTGGTCTCACATAGGACTCAGACCCAGGCCTGGAGTCCTACGGCTTCTTCCCTACAGGGGGCTCCCAGCTGGAGGTGAAGCTGGTGCTGCTGTGGAAACACAACATGCGCATCGAGTATGTGGCCATGGCACCCTGGCCCCTGGAGCCCGAGGGTCCTCGAGGAACACGGGTGGAAGTGACCATGGAAGGTGGCTATGACATTCTGCATGACGTTTCCTGTGCACTGAGGCAGCCCATTCGCTCACTCTATCGGACCCATGTGATTCGCCGTTTCTGGAACACCCTGCAAAGGCACGTGAGGTCCCCGCCGGGAGTGATGCTCACCTGCCGTATGGCAGGATGAACTTGAGTACCAACAGCACTGGGGAGACACCCAGAGCAGTGGGCCATGTCCAGGGCCCCTTGTCGCCCTGCATTGCCTATCTTCTGCACCTAGCCCTGGCAGATGTGACTCAGGCCTCACCCTCGTTCTGTAGCATTAACCAGACGGACCAGATGCTAGCCCACCTGCAGTCCTTCTCCTCCGTGCCAGAGCACTTCACGCTTCCCGACAGCACCAAGAGTGGAGTACCACTCTTCTACATCCCTCCTGGCTCCACCACCCCGGTGAGTGGCTTTCCTGTCCAGGTGTCACACTCCGTGCCTGCCTGGGGTTGGATTGGCACAGCCTGGAGCCCAGAGCCATCTTTTGTTCCCTTCTAATCTTGAGTGTGAGGCACCCAGACCAGAAGCTTAAACTTGAGCTGCGGGAGAAGCCTTTCTGTCTCCTGCTGAGGCCCCAAGGAGAGGGATATGTAAAGAGGCTGACTCGGCAGACCACAGGGACGGAGGTGCCGTCTGGCAGCATGGCTGGGGTGGCTGTGTCCCAGCAAACCATGAGTCCCCCCATCTCTGGGAAGCACACTCTGGTCTCCTCTTACCACCTGCCCCTGTGGCTACTCCAGCTTGGCCACTCTGCATTGTGCTCCTTCACACCCTATCCATGGCTGTCAGCCTTGCCATGGTTAGTAGGCAGTTGCAGCTAGCATGAACCAGATGTATCCTGAGCTCCTGCCATCAGGCAGTGGCCACCTCTGAAGCCACTGGCATAAACTGGGCAGATTCTTTTCCTGCTGAACTGAGTTTTCAGTCATCCTGATCTGGCGTTCAGACTGGACACGGGTTGGGTCTTCCCAGCCTGGGCTGTGTAGCCTTTAAGCCTAACCCACCGCCGACTCTGACTGCCTGAGCCAAGCCTGCCCAGGCTCTGCTGGCTGTCTGAGACTGCACCCTGGTTCTCCCTGAGCACTCCTAAAGCACTGTCCCTCTGTCCCCCAGGTGCTCTCCCTACAGCACAGTGGTTCCGACTCATCCCATGCCCAGTTTGCAGCCTACTGGAAGCCAGTGCTGTCCATGGATGCCAACTCATGGCAGCGCTGGCTACACATGCATCGCCTGGTGCTAATCCTAGAGCATGACACGTAGGTACCCCCCATAGGGCTGCAGCCACAGTGGAGGAGAGGATCAGGGCCAGGTTGGGGGGTAATGGGCAGGAGGGCAGCAGATGACCAAGGAAAGACCAAGTTCCTCTCCTAGTCCTCGTGCTCCTCAGCCACCTTAACCACAAGCAGAGCCCGGAAGAGAGGCAGTGGTCTCTTCTTTAGCCCCAAGTTTGGGGCTGGGGGGGTTAACTTCAGTGCCCACCCTCCACCTAGACCCATCCCCAAGCACTTGCACACGCCGGGCAGCAATGGACGCTACAGCACCATCCAGTGCAGGATCTCCCACTCCTCGCTCACCTCTCTGCTCCGAGATTGGAGCAGCTTTGTGCTGGTTGAGGGCTACTCGTACGTCAAGCTGCTCTCCAGGTGGGCAAAGTGATATTCCCTCACTCCCCACTCTGCCTCATCCCATGTCTCTCCCTCCAGTCCTAGCCCTTGCTGCTACTTCCTCCTCCTCTTGCTCCCAACCTAGGACTGCTCACTCTCCCCCCATTTCTCCCCAGTGCCCCAGACCAGCCCCCATCCTCCTTCTACATGGTCCGCATCATTTCCAAGGCCCCCTGCATGGTTCTTCGCCTGGGTTTTCCCATTGGCACGCCAGCACAGGCCCGGCATAAGGTGAGCTGGGCCCAGACTGACTCCCAGACACCCCTGGGATGCAGGCTAGCTCCCTCTTCCCAAACCCCACAGGCCCACAGTGGCAAGGCCCTGCCTACCCTCCAGCCCCCTAACCAGAGCAAGCAAAACTCGGAGCAGAAGGACCCTTCCCCTAGTTGGAAGATCTGACTGCATTTTCCCCCAGATTGTGTCAGGCTTACGGGAAGAGATCCTACGCTTACGTTTCCCCCACCGGGTGCAAAGCAAGGAGCCGACACCAAAGGTGAAACGGAAAGGGCTAGGGGGCATCAGTGGGGGCAGCTCGCCCTCCAAGTCGCCGCCCATGCTGGGGCCACAGCAGGCCCTGTCCGACCGGCCCTGTCTTGTGGTCCTGCATAAGCCTCTGGACAAACTTCTCATCAGGTGGGTGTAGAGGGTAGGGAGGGCCCAGAAACACATGGGAGTTGGTGGCTTAGTTAGGCCCAAGTGATCACCTGTGGAGTCACTCCTCTTCCTCAGGTATGAGAAGCTACCCCTGGACTACCGGGCGCCCTTCTTGCTGACACTGGAGCCACCAGGGCCATTGCCCCTGGTGTCAGGCCGCTCAGCCTCCTCTAGTCTGGCATCACTGTCCCGTTACCTCTACCATCAGCGCTGGCTCTGGAGTGTTCCATCGGGTCTGGCCCCTGCCCTGCCACTCAGCGCTATCGCCCAGCTCCTGTCCATCCTCACTGAGTACGTTACCCAGGGCTGCTGAGGCACCAGGCAGGGGAGAGCAAGTGTGGACTGGGTTTGGACCCTGGTGGGAAGCCAAAACCAGAAGTTTCCCTCTGTACACCCCAGTGTCCCGTACGGAACAGCTCGTGCTACTGCCCTCACCCTCTGCCATCTCCTGTTTGTTTTGGCCTCTGGGCCTCAGTGCGCTGTTAGGCCCTGAGGAAGCACGGGTTAGAGTGAGTTCCCTGGCAGGCATAGCTGCCAGAGAATGGGTGTGCAGGGAGTGGGGGGGCTGTGCTAAATGTGACCTCTTCTCTTACCTTGTCCTGGCTGCGCCCCGCCTCAACTGGACCTCAGAGTCCGCCTCTCTGAAGGATTCCATTTTGCCTGCAGCGGGGAAGGAATTATCAACATGGTGCTAGAGCTTCCAATTCAGGTGTGTGCCTCATGGGACCCTTCCGAGATCCTTTAAAACCCCGGGGACACAGGCCCAGGAACTGGGTGGCAAGCTCTGGCAGAGCTATCAGGGACCACATGGCCAGAGTGCTTGCAGCATTGCTCACGCTGTGAAAAAGGCACTGGAGTCCTGAGGGCCTGAGCTGGCCCGGGCCAGATCTCCACACCACTGGCTGGTTCCTACCCACGCTTTGCCTCCACCCACAGAACGAACCCCCCGGACAGGCTGCGGCTAAGGAGAAGCACACGTGCGTGGTCCAGTATGTCCTCTTTCCGCCACATTCCACATCCACCAAGGACAGGTGAGCCCAGCCTCTGAGAGCCAGCTCGGCAGCTCCCTCTCCTCCCCACCACCTGCTAAAGGTGTGCCCCAGCCCGCCAAGGCACCTGTGCATGCTGGGTCAGTGCCCACCCCCTCCCATCCTCCACACGGCTGCTCTGAGCCTGGGCCTGGACTCTGCGCTTCCCCAGGTTCAGAGGTGCACCCCTCCCCATCCTTTAGCTTCTCCACAGATGATGACAATGATGTGGAGGTGGAAGCCCTGGAGGGAGACTCAGAGCTCAACCTGGTCACCGAGGTGTGGGTGGAGCCACAACATGGGCGCGTGGGGCCTGGCCCTGAAAGCTGGAGGCACCTGCAGGACCTGATGTACTCTGAGATCCCCCAAGCTGTGAGTGACCATCCTGGTGCGCCCTCGCCTTTGCAGTTGTGCATCTGGTGGGCTCCCTGGCCCTCTAGTCCCCTGTCCAGAACATTCTGAGTATCCTCTGGGAGAACTAGAGCCCTGTCTGTTGGCTCCTAGGAAGGCTTACCTCCCAGCCTCTGGTCTTCCTCTTCTAGCTCCACCCGCGGGATGCTGCTTGCATCAGCTCCATGCTGAGTTTTGAATACCTGATCCAGCTGTGCCAGAGCAAGAAATGGGTTCCTTTGCCCCCAGAGCCAAGGGTCTCTGATGGTCAGTGGGGAAGGTAGCCTACTGGGTGGAGCTGGGGAGTGGGTGGGGAGAAGGCAGCCATAGATAAAATAAGCTGGGTCTCTAGGTGTCCTGAAACCTTCCCCTTCCCCTGCAGTGTTGACTCAGGGAGCAGGCACCTGCGTCCATGAGATTCCTTTTCATTTTGACCTGATGGGCTTGCTGCCACAGTGCCAGCAGATCCAGATGTCCTTCCTGCTGCTTTTCAGAGGTGGGTGAACTTGGTACCTGCCCTCCACCCCCTGTCCAAGGACTGTGAGCCTGGGAATGTCAGGGGACAGAGCAGAAGGGTGAGCAGTGGGGCAGGAGCCAGCAGGGCAGTAGGAGGGCTGTGCCAGCCAGGGTGGGTCTGGGGGCGCTTGGCAGCAGAAAGCCCTCGGTACTGAGCAGAGTGTATGTCGGCCAGAGCCAGAGGGTGTCTCTCTCGCCGAGGGGCCCTGTCCTGCCAACGACATGGTGCTGTGCCTGCTGCACAGTTGCCTGGAGCAGGAGCTGAGCGACCGGGAGATCCCGCTGAGCCTCTTGGACCAGGCTGCTTTCCTGAATGAGGTGCTGCGGCGGACCAGCCGTGGGCCAGGTGAGCTGCCCACGTTTTTCCCCAATCCCAGACACTGGCCCAGCCTTCCTCTTACCTGGAGCTCTGCTCCACCCTGCTTTTCCTTTAGCTCAAAGTCCTGTCTGTCTACTGGTCTTGCTGCCTTCCTCCATCTCTGTCCCCATTGTAGGTGCAGAGGGACCACCAGCTGGAGACCATGGAATTCCAAAGGACCAAGCTGTGGGCAGCACCCAGGCCTGTGGAGACTCGGCCCCTCCCACTCTGGTCAGCATCAATGTGTCCACTGAGCCCTTGTTGAACCTCCTTCCATCAGTGCTTACTCAGGCCCTGCATTCTGGCTTTTTGTCACCCTTTGTTGAGTGTCTCCTGCTGGTGACAAATGCTATCTGTTATCTTTGTGCTGGGTCTCTCAAGCTATACCAAAGATGCTCAGTGCAGGGTGGAGGAGGGGCTTGGACAGTACCTTTGAGATGGCTCTAATTTCTGATTTCTGTCTCACAGAGTGTGGGTGTCCCCCCTGATACCCTTAGGCCTCTCGCCTCTGCGCAGCCTCCCCAGTGGCGCTGCTATGCAAGGCTCGTGACCCCCCAGCATGTGTTTTTGACCTTTCTCCCAGCCACCTTCTCAGGTACTGACTGCTGGCAGTCCCTACCAGGCCTCTCCCATACCAACACCAGCCCACAGGACAGTTCCAACTCTTGTCTCTCTTCTCTTCAGATGTCCAGCATTTGGCTGCCTATGGCCTGGAGGGTCCCTCCCAAGAGGAGATGAAACCTAAGCTTGGGGACTGGAATGGGGCCTCCAGCCCGAAAGATCTGGGAGGCAGTGGAGCCAAAGCTACAAAGCCCCAGGTCCCCATTCTTAGCGTAACCCTCGCCAGTGGTGGTAAGACGGCTGGCACTTATGTCACATTAGCTGGAGTGGGACTGGAGCCCAACGGCCTGCCGACCGTGTGGCACCTTCCCCCTCCCAGACAGCACTCAGGATTCAGGAGAACCAAACCCATCCTTGCGTCAGGACTCACAGGCTTGCCCTGGGCATCAGGCTTCCCAGGTGGAAGGTGCCGACGGGCCCCGCACCCGCTGTCCTGTCTACATCTACAACTGCTCGCTGGAAGCATTAAGGGAGCGAATGGTCGGGCTGCAGCCCCCTCCTGCTCCACGAGATCTCGTCTTCCGGTAAGCGCCCTCTGTGTTGACTCACTTCCACCCCTGGCCGGCTCCCAAGCACTCATGAGTGTGGGCTGACGGACAGAAACGCAGCTCTGTGACTGTGCCCTTCCAGCTCCTTGGGTGGCCCCTGTCAGTCGGCTGGACTGGCCACACTGTTTGACAGGAGTCTAGGTGCTTGCTTGGAGTAAGGGTGGCTGGTGAGACTGAGTGGTCACCTAGGGAGTCATCCGAGCTCTGTGCGTCTGTGCCATTCCCAGAACTCAGTTCCTGGACCACCCGTCCCTGTCCTCTGCCTGGATGGAGCCCAGGAACAAGGAGGCAGCCACACACTGTGCCTTGCTTCAGGAACACGCACAGCGATGCTACGTCCGTGGTAAGCAGGAGAGCATGTGAGCGGGCCTGGGGACTAGAGGCGCTGTTCCGCAGCCCGATCCCCGCAGCTCCTGCTGTTTCCACCAGGACTGTTCCGGAGCCTGCAGCAAGCACAGAGCGTGACCTCTCAGGATTTGCTGACAGCAGTAGACGCCTGTGAGGAGCTCCTCCAAGAAGTGGACATCACACCTTTCCTGCTAGCTCTGTGTGGCCACACTTGGGGTCTGCCTCACGCCCCACCAAGCCCGGCTCCTCTCAGCCCGGGGCCCTTCAGCAGCAGCATCGAGGAGGGCCCCGAGCCTCGGGAACGAGCTATGCTGGCCTCTGAGTCCAGGTGAGGATTGTCCTGGCATGGCGAACAAGGTTGCACAGACCAAGTCCCTGTAAAGGAAGGCCTTGTAGTCCCAGGGAGTAGCTGTGCATGGGGGAGCAGCAGTGTCAGCTTGCCGGGTCCCTGCCTGGCATGGAGCAAGGAGCTGGGTCAGCTGGAAGCTTGTCTTAAACATGTTTTTATAACAGTCATGGTCTCCCCTGCTGATCTGAGGGTCACAGAGGTCCACACTGTGAGTTCCTGTCACTGCCAGGGCTGCAGGGCACCTGAGACTGCTGCTGAAAGGAGTGATGGAGAAAGGCCAGCAGGCAGACTGCTCAGCCTAGAACATGGTGTGATAAGGAGCAGCAGGAAGAAGCTGGGGATTCGCGAGTCAGAACCCCAACCTGGATCCCTCTGCATTTATGGCCTCCCCACCTCAACATTGCCAGATGTTGCTTCTCCGCCTGTCTTCTTCACTTATGGTGGACAGTGTCACTTTCCTGCCAGTGATCCAAGTCAGCACTGAAAACTGTCCTTTCTGTGATTCACAGAGTAGTCAGGCTGTCAGGAAGTGGGGTGGGGATTTGGGCCTGAGTGGATGCCCGGGGTGCTTGGTACCCTTCCTGTAGAAGAAACGGATGTGTGCTGCTCCCCAGGTAGGACCCAAGCTCCCCCAGCTCTTAACACTTCCGAACCCTTCCCCCCACCCACTCCCACCTGATCCCACAGCATAGAGACTGAGGACCTAAGTGAGCCCGAGTTTCAGGGTGCCCGTGTCCCTGGCAACACAGACCCTGGCCCAGAGATCTCCCTGACGGACATCTGCCATCTTGGAGGACAGGCACACGATGCCCTGCATGGCCTCATCCAGGTGGACACTTGGGAGAGGGTGGAGGAGGGACGGAGGCCTGGCTGCAGGGTGAGGAGGCTACGCTACTGATGACTGGCTGGCAATGGGTCGCCTCCTCTTAAACCCCTGACAGGAGAAATTCCTGGAGATCAGCCGCCTCCATTTCCGCACCGTGCCTTCCAATCCCCACTACTTCTTCTATTGTCCTTCGAGCAACAGGCGAGAAGTGAGTGGCATTTTTCCTTCCCTCCCCAGTGCCCCCATCCTCATGCCCTAGAAGCCCCACCCAACCTGCCTAGACCCTCTCTCCCCATTACACCACAACACTGGCTCTCGCCCAGGTCCTCTTAGGCCCTGGTTCCCCAAGGCCAGGAGGTGTCTTTACCATGCCTTGAGTCTATCTGTTTCTCTTCATTTATCCAGGATGAGGGTCCCCGGGATGCCATTGACCGAAAAGTCAGTGACCTGGAGTTTTCAGAGGCTGAGCTTGCAGGCGAAGAAGCGGGTATGTGGGCAAGCGGGCTGTGGTAGAAGAGGCTGCCTCAAGTCTCTGTCGTTGACCACGTGACCTGCACCACCAGGAGACACGTCTGCCTGCTGTGTGGTCACTGAGAGCGACCCAGAGCTGGAGGTGGAATATCGTGAGAGTCGGGAGCCAGAGCTGGGGCCTGCTGGGCTGGATTCCGCCTCACTGTCAGACGCCGACACAGTGAACCCTGATGAAGACTCCTTCAGTATCCTGGGGGGCGACTCGCCCACTGGCCCTGACAGTCTCGTGCATGACCTGCCTCCCCTCTTCCTGCACCTCACCTGTTCCGTGCGGCTGCGTGGGCAGCACAGCTCAGTACCTGTGTGCAGCCTGCCCACCTGCCTGGGTGAGTGTGGAGGAAGCCCAGGGAAGGCCTGTTTGCCTGTCCAGGAGTAGAGAGAGCCTGACTGAGTAGGCTCATACATCGCTCAGAATTGCAATCTGCTTGGCCTAGGGGTCCAACCAGCCCCCACTTTCTTCTTGTCTCAGGCCAGGTGCTTTCCTGTCTGGAGGGCCCCCCGATTGGAGGCCGAGTTCTCCTGAGGGACCTCAGTGTCACTCTGGATGTCTTTGTGCTGACCTTGCCCTTGGAAGTGGAGCTGCCCCCAGCCTCAGATCCTCAGCATCACCGGTGTGGCAGCATGTTTGGGAAAGGGAGCGGGGAAGGATCTGGGGCCTTGTCGAATTAAGGGGACCATGAAAGCAGTCTGGGACACTTGGAAACTAAGGAGGCTTTACTGAGTCCAAGCAGGGAGTAAGGCCCTGGGAAGATGATAGCTCCTGACCTTCGGCTGTGACCCCACCCCATTCAGGTCAACATCTGAGAGCAGTGCTTCATTCCCACGGTCCCCTGGGCAGCCATCCTCACTAAGGTCAGATGATGGCCTGGGTCCTCCCCTGCCACCTCCAGAGGAAGAGAGGTATGTCCTTCTTTCCCTCTCAGAGCCCCTGACATCTGTCATTTTCACTTTCTGGGAACAGCGTCTCATCCTTTCCTCCACCCAGGCACCCGGGACTGTCCAGTTTGGCCACACCCCACAGGCTGGCTGTTGAGACCACCATGAGTGAGGTGAGAGCCTCCCCTCACCCAGCTTGAGTGCCAGTCCCTGGCCTTCCCACCAGCCGGATGGAATCCTGGGATTGGAGCATGCCTGCTGACAGGCAGTGCCCTCCAGTGGATCCTAGGCAGTGAGCGAGGGAGGAGCCCTTAGCCACCTCCTGGGGTGCCCTCTGGTCGCAGATCCGCTGGCTGTTGGAAGATGAGATAGTGGGGGCACTCCGAAGAGGGGGCATCCCCCAGAGCGCTGCTCTGCACCGCACAGCTGCCCACATCCACAGCTCTCCTGGGCGCTCTACCTGCCTTCGTCAAACTCTGCCGCTGAGTTTTGTCTTTGGGCCCGAGCGTTCTCTCACACAGTTCAAGGAGGTGAGCTGCCCTCAGGACACCCCGGAACCCATGCCACCCTGGGTGCCAAGTGCAAACCCAGAAGGCCCCTCGCTTAGATGTTGCCTGTATTACTTATCCCTCCAGACATCCTTGCCTCATGCCTGGCAGCCCAGCTGGATGGAAGAATACCCAGCTTGCCAGCTGGTCCCTGGGTCTGGCCTCGGCCAGTTACTGAGTGGGTGGTTGCAGTCACGCTGGCGGGTGGTTGCAGGTGTCCAGACGGGAAGGGTAAGGCGGCATATCTGGGAGATTTGCTCCTACTTCACCCATGTCTTTGGCTCCTGTTCCCTAGGAATTCCGTCGCCTCCAGCTCCCAAGCCATGTTCTCCTAGAAGACCCTGACAGTGGCTTCTTCTTTGTGGCAACTGGTCAGCAGCCAGGTGGGTCCCCTGGGGAGCCCCCTTCAGCGGCTTGGGCCTGGCACAGCCATGAGGACAGAGCCGAAGGTATCGAAGGAGAGGTGAGTCTCACCTGGGAGCGGAGCCAAGTGGGTGTGGGAGGCTGGGCCTTGGTCCTGACTCCCTGCTTCTCAGGCCCTGCCAGCCAGCCCCCACATTCCTGGCTCCCCAGAGGATCCTGAGGGCACTCCCGTCAGGAGCCCACCTCAGGGAGGTAAGAGAAGGGCCAGGCAGCCTCTAGGGGTCTAGAGCCTCTTATGTTTCTGGTTCTGCTTCCATATTTTAAAGGGAAGCTCTAGGTAGGATTGAAAGATGCTCTAAGCACTTCCATTTTCTATGCAGGAAGTCACCCTGAGCCCAGCCGAGGCCTAAGCCTCATGTCCAGCCAGGGCAGTGTGGACTCAGACCACCTGGGTAAGCTTGGGAAAGGGCTAGTGGCAGCGGGCTGAGGACAGGTCTGGGCAGGGGGCATTGGACTGTCAAGTCCAGCACCCTTGGAGGTTCAGATGAGTCAGGGCTGGCCAAGGCTGGGGGTGAACTGGAGCACGTTTGGCACAGGTTATGATGGTGGCAGCAGCGGCTCTGACAGCGAGAGCCCGCATGAGCCTCTTGGTGAGAAGGCCCCCTTCCCGCTGCGGACTGCCCTGGGACCGGCTCCTCCACAGCCTTCACTCTTAGGCCTCCCTGGGCCCTGCCTGCCTGACTTCTGGCTCCTCGTGCGGGTCCTGCAGGACCGGGTGGACGTGTATGCACATGCACGGTGGGTATAGAAACCAAGGCCTGTAGCCCAGCACTACTGTGAGCCCCTGTTCCCTACTGCCCCCACATCTTTCCCCAGTGATGCCCAGGAATGTCTGCCTGGGGCTGTGACAAGAATCCTGATCACCTTCCCCCTTCCACCTTGCACTGTCCACTTCCTCTCTCCCGTGTCCCCCTCCCACCTCCTACCTCCCACCTCCCCCTTCCCCGTAGGGCAGACTGTGGGACTCTGAGCTTTCTTACCAGAGTGGAAACGCTGGTGGACATTTTGGCTTCTAGTTGAGCATTAAGAATGTGACTGATTCAGAGAGGTTTTAGGATGGCCATATAAAATAAAGAGTAATAGCTAGTGTGTGACAAGTTCACCTGTTGCACGTGGGTGGGCTCCTGGAGTCCGGGGAACAGTTCTGCAAGGTGTCCTCCTGACCCTCGGGCACAGCACAGGTGTCGCAGGAGGAGCAGAGCCAGGATGCACTCGTGGGCATCAGATTAAACACTGCTCTCATCTCCAGGGCATAGTTGAAGGACAGGACAGCCATTGTTCTATGACAAGGAAGATTTGAGAATTAAGAGGAGTCCGCTGTATGGCCGAAGCCTCTGTGTAGGGAGCCAGCTTCCAGAAATGCTCCTTCAAGAGTCCCTCCTCCCCACCTCCCACCAGCCTGATGTCCTTCTGTCCAGGCGCACTTGCGTCTCCACCCTGGCTTTGTGACCTCTCCTACCATGACACTTCCAGCCCCTCCTCACTGCACTGCTGTGTCTCAGGTCCACCTTTCCTCCCCAGGAGCCTGAATCGGGAGGACGGGGGCTCGGGCGCTGAGTGTTGCCACCTGCAGCAGCTCCTGGTGAGGCGTGTCGGGGAGATCTGCAGGGAGGTCAACCAGGTAAGGGGCTGCGAGACCAAGATTGAGTGAGCCCTGAGACCCAAAGCAGATGAGGAGGGAGCTTCTGGGAACTGGACTGTCAAGGGCCATCCTTTGATCAGACCCAGCAATGGCTGTGTTTTGTTTTGTTTTGTTTTCTCTCTCTCTGCTCCCCTACTTACTGGGCTGCTGCTGCCTGCCGGCTCCTGACCAGCTGGGGAGCTCCCCACCTCTACCCCCAGTCCCAGTGGGTTACTCCCACAGCCTCCCCAGGACCCCAGAGAAGCTGCTCACACTGCCTGTGCCAGTAGGAGGGATGTGATCGCCAACCTACGATGGGATCCCCTCACCTGGGGGGCTTATGTGGGCTGGGGCAACTGGACACTGAACAACTAAATCCCATCAACTGTTTGGATTAGCACTGGGAAGACGGCTGTAGAGGAAGAGTAGAGATAGCTCTGAAGGCACTGATCAAGGCTCTGACCCTCCGAAGCGTCAGGGAAAGCTTCTTGGAGGAAGGGACCCTGAAGGGTAGTAAACCGGACCTGAAAGGTAGCAAACTGAGGAAGGGGCCGGAAGGCAGCCTGAAGGGTAGCAGATGGATTCTGGCCCATAGGAGGGACCAGTGTTCCTCTCCAGGTTCCCTCTCAGTCCCTTATGCTGTAGGACATCAGGACCCCACCCATGTGTGACCTCTTGGTGGTCTTTCTGATCTCTGACCACCCCTCCACCAGTGACACTGGACATCCTCTCTGTCTACCACTACCTCATGAGGCAGCCCTTCCGGTCCCTAACCCCTCGCTCCTTTCTCACAGCGACTGCTGCTTCAGGACCTTCACGACAGCCACGTGTGCAACTCTCTCCTGGTGGCGGAGAGCGAGGAGGATCTGTGGCGCAGCGAGACGCCCTTCCACTCGCGCCAGCGAGCTCCACTGCCCAGCGACGGTAAGAGCCCCACCTACAGCTCCCTTGTAAGGTGTTGCTGCCGCCACCACCACCACCCTGGCTCTCAGCCAGTGCTTCCGTGAGCAACCCAGAGCAGAGTCCACATGACTTGACCACCAGCACCAGGTCACAAAAGGAACCGCTGCATCTGGCAGCCATCAGCCAGGCCACAGCTTTGGCAAAAGGAGGTTCAGTGGAGAGAGGACTAGAAGCCAGATGGAACCAGCGTGCACATATGATGGGCAGGTGGAGCAGAGGATTCCTGCTCCTTCCAGTTGCTTGTCAGGAAAGGAAGCAGGAAAGTAGAAATGGAGGTGGGGAGAGTAGCGAGGGGACAAGGGAAGAAGTTAAAGATTAGGTAGAGACTGGAGTGTGCTCATTTCCACAGAGAAAGAACCAGTAAAGGGGAACAGTTTGGCAAACACAGGGGAGAAGACAGGTGGTGGCCTGTCTGCCCAAGGTCGTACTCTGCCTTACCACTTAAAATTGTCAGTTTTCCCTGGCTCGGCAGTGAGGACACATGGGCCAGAAGTGACAAGCTAAGGGCTGCTCCAAGAAGTGTCCTTCAGAATGGCCATCTGTCCAGATGGGTGGTGGGATCCCCCTGGGAGCTGTGGTCCTGGTTAGGAGACCTGATGGGTCACTTGAGAAGGTAGACCCATTGGCCTTGCTACTCTCCTCTCTCTGCTGACCACTCCTCCCTCCAGTCTGGGGGAAAACAAATCATGTCAATCCTTTGTGGCTTTCCCATTTGGTTTAAAAGTAACCAAGTCTTAGCAAGTCTGTAGACAAAGGCTTCTAACAGCTGCCAGGAGAATGTGCATCTTGGCACGTGTTGGAACTCCATCAGAGCAGCTCCCCTGTAGTCGGCAGACTGCTGTGGTTCCCACGGTGTCTTCTGCAGATTGAGGGTGAGCTGGGGAGTGCAGCACTTTTCACTTCAAGGTGACCCCCACTGGGTGCAAAACGGAAGACCAGTCAGGGCCCAGTCGCAGCCTTGCCTCATATCAGGTGCTCTGTGTTTCTCCTCTGAAAAACTCTTAGCAACCAGCGTGCTGTTGCAGGGTTTGCAGCCTCCTGGGCATCCCATATGCTGCTGGCACCTGCCAGCAGCTTCTCTGAGAAGCTAAACTGCCACTTCAACCTTCTGGAAACCTGAAAAGGCATAAACGAGGGCAGTGGACTGTGGCCCTGGGCCTTGGGGCAAGGCTCCTCGGGCTGTCCGTGCTGTCAGCACGGCGCAGTTTACTCACTGCCACCGGTGTGCCGCAGCAGCCATCCCTTTCGTTTTAATGTGGTTACTCCTACAGCTCCCTAGGAAACTGGAGGACTGTGGTGTGACTGACCTACGTCATTACAGAGTCACACTCCCGGGTATCATCCTCAGGATGTCCTCACACCCTACACCTTCCCCAAGGCCCCCAGAGACGGTTCCAAAAGCCTTTGTTTCAGGAGCCTGCTCCAAGGAGTGTGCCTCTGCCCAGCCCTGCCGTGTTGCCCCAAATGGTCATGCTTCTCTAGCAGGGGGAGGAAGAATGAGGAAATAGGCCGGTTCCCGTGGGAGAAACCTTTGTGTGAAGCCAAAGGACAGCGGGTCCTGTTCTTGATGGCTGCTCTCCCTTCTCCCAGATTACGCTGCCGATGAGAGCTGCGCACCCCGAGGGTACCTGGCAGCCACCATGCAGTTTGTCCCTGGCCACTTCTCCTGTGACGTTGTGTGGGGAACCGTGATCAGAGTCCATTCGCGTCTCAAAATGGGGCCCAGCATGGGGGTCTCTCGGGGTATGTGTTTGGTACCGGGGTATAGGTCGGGGTGGAAGCATCCAGAGAAGGAAGTTGGCTGAGCCTGTGTCATCCATCAGCCATCCAGGCCTTGCGCTCCGTGCTCAATGCCTTCTCCGTGGTGAACCGGAAGAACATGTTTGTTTACCAGGAGCGAGCCACAAAGGCTGTGTACTACCTCCGGTAGGTGGGTCCTGGGGAGACGGGTCAAGCCCAGTTGAGAATGGCCTGGGAGGAGGTATGTCCAGAGACCTTGCCATCTTTCCCAGGCTGCTGGAGACGTCCTGCAGTGACCGGCCATGGGAGGGGGACGCTCTGCCCCCGTCCCTCGCCCTGTCTCGAAGCCAGGAGCCCATCTACTCAGAGGAAACCTCGGCACGTATCCCAGCCATGCCCAGCTCCACCATGCACCCTTTCCCTTCGCTCCCTGGAACTGAGCCTTGCTGACCACCATTGTTCCTGCAGGGTCCGCGTTCTCCCTTGGACGTGGCTTCTGGACGCAGCTCAGATGCTGCTCGTCCCGTGGGCCAAGTAGACAGACACATCCAGCTGCTGGTACATGGTGTCGGGCAAGCTGGTAAGAGGAGGAAAGGGACCAGGACCCTCTGGGATCTCTAGGACCCCTTGCTGCTATCCCCTGGGACACCTGCTCAGGTTCCTGCTGTGGCCTGGACTCTCTCCAGATGGAGCTGGGTGGGAAGCAAGGTTCAGAGTAGGACTTGTGGCTGAGTGCAGTGCAGTGTAGGGAAGAAAAGCCAGGCCAACCTGGCCTACGAGCAGGGCCAGATTTGGGGTGAAGGTGAAGCATTCAGTCTGGGAGATGCAGAGCCTGAAGTGTGTGTTAGCCTGAAGATAGCTGGGCTTCCAGCAGATACTTACCACTCAATGTGTACCATTAGGGCCAAGGCTATTAAGAGTTCTGACTTTGAATCCTCCCCTAAAAAGGCCACGAGGTCGATGCTATTGTAATTCCCGTTTTGTGGACAAGGGCACAGAGGCTCTGAGCTGCAAAACTCACATGTCCAGTCTTACAGTGAGGAGCCCAACAGAACTGGAACCTGGTACTGCTCCTCAACCCTGCAAGCCAGCACTCCTCACACTGCCTCCAAGGGACATTGTTTGAATCTGAAGTTTAAGGGCTGGTATGGGGTTGGCAAGTGAAAACCTCTGCCAGTGACCCCGGCTTACCAGTGTGGCTATGTATAGGTCCTGAGATCACGGACGAGCTGGTGCGGGTTCTGCGTCGGCGCCTGGATGAGGCCACACTGGACGTCATCACAGTCATGCTGGTCCGCAACTGCAAGCTGACGCCAGCTGACGTGGAGGTTGGGCCCCAATCCTGGGCTCCACCATGATGTCAGCCTTTCAGCTAGAGTCTCAAGGCCCTATCTCCCCAAGCTGGGATCTGCCACAGCCCTGACCCCCAATTCCCCAAGCTGGGATCTGCCACAGCCCTGACCCCCAATTCCCCAAGCTGGGATCCGCCACAGCCCTGATCCCCAATTCCCCAAGCGGGGACCTGCCACAGCCCTGACCCCCAATTCCCCAAGCTGGGATCCGCCACAGCCCTGACCTCCAATTCCCCAAGCGGGGACCTGCCACAGCCCTGACCCCCAATTCCCCAAGCTGGGATCTGCCACAGCCCTGACACCCTCCCCCTAGCTGGGATCTGCCACAGCTCTGATCCCCCCCATCCTCCCAGTTCATTCAGCCTCCCGGAAGTCTCCCCTCAGAGGTACTGCATCTGGCGCTCCCTGCCTCCTGCAGGCCTTGGCTTCCTGCCCTGGCCTGGTACCTGCGGCAGAACCTGCTCATCTTCCTCCACTCTCCCAAGTACACAGATAGCAACAGCCGGAACCACTTCCAGGTGAGCGTGCCCCTCCTCACCGCACAGCCCCCCGCATGCCCTTACCATGGACCTGTTTTCTGCGGATCCCTCCGTGCATGCCTTTGCCTATGGACCTGGAGGCATCCAGACCCCTATTATCTACCTGCGCTTCCTGTGCCGCCACAGGGACCTGAGGATTTTTCCATGTGCTCGGTCTCAGTGCTCTGTGTGACTGCTCTCTCCCCAGCACCCACTCCCACCACAGGGTGGCCTCCCTGACATGGACATCTACCTGTATAACAAGCCTGGTGGACAGGGCACTGGCGGCAAAGGTAGAGTGGGTGGTGGGCTCGCAGCACAGCAAGGTATGGGAGACCCTGTGCTCACCCTAGGACTGAGAGGGTCTGTCCCAGCTTTGCTGAGGTGGGGAGTAGGCTGGGGGATACTGGGAGGGAGAAGGAACGGCAGGCCCTGAGCCTTTCTTTGGATTCTACCAGGGGTCGCCTGCATCACACTAGCATTTGTGGACGAAGAAGGGGCTCCCATCTCACTGGCATCTTGGCCCTCCTCTTCTCCACGGCCCCCAGACCCATTGCAAGAGGAGGAATTTGAGCAGCTGACCCAAGTTGTTCGCTGCCCAGTCATGCTGAACAGTTCTGCAGGTGGGGCAATAGAGTCAGAAGATGGGGTGTTCAGTTAAAGCTGTGAGAGGCAAAGATAGTGAACATTCTGGAGTACCCTCAAATGACTCCCCCTTCTTTTCCTGCAGCACAGGATGGCGCCCCAAGGCTTCGCCTGGATGTGTGGGAAAAAGGAAACATTAGCATCGTGCAGCTGGAGGAGAAGCTCCGCGCAGCCGCTCGTCAGGCCCTGGCAGATACTGTCATGGAGCTGCAGCTGCTGCCAGCCTCGCTGTGTGCCGAGGACACACCCCCAGGGATCCAGACAGGTATGGCAGGGGAGGATGCACAGGTTGGGTGCAGGGAGAGTTTCACAGAGGCCCCATCAGAAATGCACACACACAGTTGTCCAACACCTCATACGCATCAGGCTGATACACAAGCAGAAATGTAGTCCCTTGGCCACCACCCACCCCCCAGGAGACAGCCGTGGATCATTGGGAATGGAGGGTCACCAGCACAGCTGCACATTCAAACTGCCTGTTCTGTCACCACCACCAGCACGTGGATAACAACTGGCTCTCATACCAGTCTTTGGACCAGGCTGTCCGGAACGGGGCATTATGTTCAGTGTTGGGAGCCTGTGATGTCTTGTGTCCACAGGAAGTGTCAGGAGCGGGTCATCAGACACCAGAAACGCTGCTGGCCGCGCTAGCACCTTTCCACCCACCCCTGGCCATGGGGAGCCTGTGACTCCACCCAGCAAAACCGGCCGACGCAGTTTCTGGGATATGCTGGTAATGAGAGGAAGGGGTGAAAGCAGCAGCTGCCCCTCTCCTAGATCCTCTACATTTCCCTGCCCCGCCAGGCCTTGCTAAGTGGCCTTCCCACCAATCTCGAGATGCCTGGCCCTGTCCTGTGGAAGGAGCTGGTGGAACTTGGCAGGTTCTCCCTAAGGTGGAGGGCACCATGGCTTACTGAGTGCCTTCCCCTTCCATTTTTCTTGCTGGCTCCTCGCCATCATGTGCAGGATAAGTCAGCACTTTGTAGAGGAAGATGGGGCTCAGGACTGTGAAGTCACCTGACCCCAGGCCCACAGATCCTCTGAGCTCATTACTGCTGCAGGACACCGTCATCCTGCACCCCTTTCCTCTTCCCGATAGACCATCCTCACTCACTGTGTTGTCTCCAGAGTAAGACCGAAGGTGGGGATTTGGGTTCCCCCAAAACAACCGATGACATTATCCTGGATCGGCCAGAAGACACTCGGGGTCGGAGGCGTCATAAGACCGAGAATGTTCGGACTCCTGGTGGGGCAGAGCGGGCACCAGGATCAGATTCTGGAGCCCAGAGGCAGAGGTGTGTGATGGCAGTGGTACTGGTCATGGTGCCACCGCTGCTGGGTCCCTGGAGGGAATGGATGTGATGTGCAGTCGCAGGCAAGCATCTGCTTTGTATGGATGCCTGTGAGGTTCCTAACTCTTGCTCTGTCTTTGTAGACGCCGCACAGCACAGTTGGAAGAGGGTGAGGTGGGGACCCTGCACCCAGTGTTTGCTCATGTCGCTCAGCGCTGGATGGAGTTTATGGTTCAGCTCGGTGAGACCCCAGCCTCTCCACCAGCCCCAAACTCCCTGGCACGAGCTGCATCCTACAGTCCAGCGGTGACTTCTCTGCCTTGCAGGTTGTGCCTCAGTGTCCAGAAGCTCCACCCACATGGTGTCCCGCTTTCTCCTTCCATCCATCCTGTCTGAATTCACTTCCCTAGTGACCTCGATGGCTGGAGACACCAGCGTCCGTGTCTTTGAGCGGCAGTTGTAAGTTCTCAGATCTCATAGACCCAAAAGGAACTTTTCTGTATGTCCTGAAAGTTAGGCCCGTGGAGCTGAGCTAGGAGAGATGTAAGCCAGGCTCCCCAAGGTGAAGGCCACACCAGGGCACGGGGCTGCATGACGTCATCTTTCTGTCTGCCCCTCCCTCCGACAGGGGCTCTGAGCCAGAGCTCTTCACTCCTCACCTCCCTGGGCAGCTGAGCCAGGCCCCCCGCCCAGCGGCTGAGCGGCACCTGCTGCTTCTGGGAAGGAACTTTGCACAGTGGAGGCGGCCAACCCAGCAGGGTGAGGGCCTGGTCTGGAGGGGCGCAGTTCGGAGTGATCGGAGGGGCGGCCTCTACTCTGCCCCTAGATGCTCATCGTGCCCCTCCCCACCCTTTAGCTGCCAAAGCCATGCAGCGTTTTGAGCCAGGAGGTGACGGGAGCTCAGGGCGTAGTGCTCCCCGGCAGAGGCTCTTGTTGCTGGAGGTCGTGGACAAGAAGGTAAATGTGGCTCCAGGGATGCGGTGGGAGGAAGGATTCTGTTGTCTCCCTGACCCTGTGACCCTGACCCCTGCCCTCCAGGTGCAGCTGCTGACCTACAACTGGGCGCCAGACCTGGGGGCGGCCCTGGGCCGAGCACTGGTTCGCCTCGTGCAGTGGCAGAATGCGCGGGCCCATCTCATCTTCTGCCTGCTCAGCCAGAAGCTTGGACTCTTCCATCATTATGGCCAGCTGGACTTCCCGGTGCGGGATGAGAAGGTGCCTGCCCCCCAGCTCTTTCCTCTAGATGGTGCTGCTGCAGGATCAGTCAAAGGAGGTGCCAGCTCAGAAAGCTGAAGAGGGCAGAGGTGGCGGGGCGGGAGATTCTGAGAGAAGCCACGTGGATGGGGAGAGGGTTGAGGCAAAGGTAGTGAGTCACTCGTGTGCTCCATCCCACAGGAGCCGAACCCATTCCTGCTGCCAGCCATGGAGGTGGAGGCCCTTATCCGCAGTGCAAGCCCCCCTCTGAGCCGGGGTCAGGGCCGACTGGGCGGGTCCTCCCGTGGTGGGGGTCCCCTGCCCCTGGACACATTCCCCTTTGATGAAGCCCTGAGGGATATCACAGCTGCCCGCCCCAGCTCCACGCTCGGTGCTGTGCCCAGACCCCCCGATCCCATCGCCTACCACGGGCAGCAGTTCCTGGAGATCAAGATGACAGAGCGCAGAGGTAAGGGTCCTGCGCTGGGTCCTGGGGAGCCGGAGATCTGTGGTCTCAGAGAAGGGGAGAGATGCCGGCCCCTGGGGGCTGCCACTGATGCCTCCACCCCCACAGAGCTGGAGCGCCAGATGAAGATGGAGAACCTGTTTGTAACGTGGCAGCAGCGCTCAGCGCCCGCCAGCATGCCCATCAGTGTGAGTGACCCCGAGATGTGACCCCAGCCTGTACCCTCCAACTGGTCCCTGGCCACTGCTGCAGGGCTCACTGCCCCTTTCCCCCAGGCCGGGGAGCTGGAGACCCTGAAGCAGTCGTCTCGCCTGGTGCATTACTGTGCAACGGCCCTGCTCTTCGACCCAGCTGCCTGGCAGCATGGGCCTCCGGAGACCACAGCGCCCCTTGAGGGGCAGGTGAGACTCAAGCCCAGATTTCTCCTGCAAGGTTTCTTTGCTCTTCTGCCCTCGCATGGTGGTCAGCAGCAGTTCAAGCTCCCTTTTGGCTCTCCCACAGCGGCGCCATCGCCCGGAGTCGGGCTCCGGGAGCCGGGAGGCCTCCGGCAGCTGCGAGTGCTTGGATGTGCCACCACCGGGGGCCCGGGAGGAGCCCTGGCTGAAGGAGCTAAGCCTGGCCTTCCTGCAGCAGTACGTGCAGTACCTACAGAGCACGGGCTTCGCACTGGTGCCGCTGAGGCCCCCCTCACCGGCTCGCAGGTGAGCCCCCTTCCCTCGCTCCTCTTCCCCTCTCCAGGCTTTGACTGCTGGACGTTACGTATGACCATGCCCCTGGGGCCCTACACAGCTGTGGGGACCTTGACTCCCACAGGCACGTCCTGCTTGTGTCACTCAGGTCACACTGCCAAGCACCCAGCCCATGCTGAGCATTCGTTTCCACACTCAGGACTCTTAGACTCGCTCCTGGCCTTGGGGCTTGGGTCTCAGTTCCTGGCCTGACATCCCACTGGCTTCTCCTGAGGTTTTCCCTGACCCCAGCAAGCCTTCCCTCAGGCAACAGCTCTGCACCAGGCCTCCCTGCCTCCCCGGCCGTGACCTGTTCTGTGTGTGTTCACTCACTGGGCAGTACTGACAGGCCTGGGTCTTGGGAAGCAGGCAGCACCCCGTGTTGCTACCATTCAGCATCCCTGAGCTTAGGGCAGCTCTGCAATCTCCTTGGCTGTGCTGGGTCCCATCATGCATCCTCACAGCATGACTGTTGCTCAGTGTTCCTGATTCTGCGCCTCCAGATTCCACGTGCCCAGCCCCTTCCCTGTGACCGTGCAGGAAAACCTTTCCATCCACGTTGCACACACGGGCAGGTGTGCAGGTAGTGAGGCATTTCCTCCCTCCTCTCTGTTCCCAGGTAGGCAGCTTTTCAAACTTGTGTGCATAAAATATATTCCTCCTTAGGCTAGATACCTCCTTGGTTTGGAAAGCCAACACCGATTCCTTGGCACTTTTGTCACCAGCTCTTCACCCTCCGGACATTAGGAAGAGAAAGTTGGCCTACAGCCTTGGGGGCTCCATTCCTCCCCAGGGCCCAGAGGAGCTGCTGGCCAGCCTGCTAGCCCTCACCAACAGTCCAAGCCAGAGGAGCCTCTCTCAGACCTCAGCATGCACTCTCTGTGCTCAGCGATATCCTTCCCCCAGTGGGAATTCCTTAACAAAACACAGCTGTGCTTTCTGGAGCAGAACTTTCTGGAGCAGCTTCCTTGCCATCACTGCCTCGGGTCTCACTTGATCCCCCTGAGGATCACATGGGATTGCTCCCCTACCAGAGGCATTGACCCTTGCAGATGTCCTGGTGGTCTGCAGCTCCTTGGTGAGATAAGTGTGCCCACCTCACCCTTCCTGGTCCGTTCCTGCTGGTCATGCCTTCCCTGCTGCTCATCTCTGAGGACTGACGATCAGCAGGCACTCACTGGTGACAAGAGCCACTTTGGCCTCTTAGAGTTAAACCCCTAGGCAGGACTTGGAGCACCTCCTGGGGTCTTCCGAAGTAAATCTCAGACATGCCTCCCCCTCGCACTCTCTGGTCGGGGAGGAGATGTGACATGGCCTTTGCCTTCCTGACAAGGCTGACCCTGCAGCATACACCAGCACTAAGGCCCTGCCTTGCCCCTGGCTCCCTGTGGGACGTGAGTATGCTCCTCTACTCATTCTCTCGTCCCCTTTTCTGCAGCACCAGCCGACTGCGGGCCATGGCTGTCCTTGGAACGGAGGGCCGAGGTTCCTTCTCCTGCCCTAAATCCAAGACTGAGGGGAGCCCCAAGGTAACTCATTGTCATGTAATGAAGCCAACCATGTGCTAGGCTGCAGTACAGGGCCCTGAAGTACTTGCCAGTGACCCTGATGATAGGTACTGACACCCGAGAGAATTCTACCGCCTCCCAGGGTTCAAGGCTGCCAAGCCCCTAGCCCTTACCCCTTCCCCTTCTCTCCTTTAATCCAGAATGCTGGCTCTTCTGTCACCACCTGCCACCTGCAGCGGGCACTGCCCGGGGGCATCATCCTCATGGAGCTGACTTTCCAGGTGAGCAAGGGGAGCACGGGCAAGGCCAGGCCCTGCCTTGTGTCTTTCTGTCCTGACCTCATCTTCATCCTCCCTCCAGGGCTGTTACTTCTGTGTCAAACAGTTTGCCCTGGAATGTTCCCGAATCCCAATGGGGCAGGCTGTGAACTCTCAGGTATGTAGCAGGGACAGGAACACAGGATGACCCAGGCTCAGGTACATTCGTTGCTGCCCCAGTATGTTGTGGGCAGGAAGGCCAAGTGATTAATCTGGTGTCATGACCTGGCTAAGCCAGTGGTCATTCTGGCACCATGACCAGACTAACTGTCCCCGTCGTACCAAACTATCCATCTCTAACACTGAGGCAAAAGATTATCTAGCATTATGGCTGGTCTGGCCTGGTGCTGCTGCCACTGTAGTCATGTATAACCACAAGTAACTGAACAGTGTGGGCACTGGAGCCCAAAGACATATGCCCCCGGTCCAGTCTGGAGTTGTCATCATGGTCACTGGGGCCTAGAGTAAGGACCAAAGCCCTCTCCCACACAGCATACCCTTATTCTGCGCCTTCTCCTTGCCTTGTTTCTGAGAGATCTGTTTGGCTGCAGTACAGACAAGGCAGACTCCTCTCCATCATACCGAGCTGTTTCCCTCCCACTGATCTCCACCTGCAGCCACTTCCCGATCCACAAACCCACTAGGGTTTCTAGATTGCATCATTATGGCCGTAGTGTGCCAAGCATCTACAATAGGAGCATTTCAGTCTAGTACGTGTTGCCAAGACACACGGCCAGTCAGCAGCCGTATTGGGTTTGGGATGCAGGTGAGACTGGCAGTGAAATCTGTGAGCTGAGGCTCATCCTGATTCACTTCCGTTTACAAAGTCCTTCACATGCTGTCCATGCCAGAGGACGAAACAGAGGCAATCATCTGTCCAGTGTGGTTCCTACAGCCATCCTTCCCTGTCAGCACCCAAGCCTGGGGAGCCCAACAGAGTGGCCGTTTAGTCTGCCCCTCCAGCAGCCCCATTCCCAGCCTGCCTTTGGCAGGATACTCGGATGCAACTTTTAGAAGGATGGCAGTTAGCCAGGTTGGGATGGACAAGAGCAGCTTCCCAGGCAAAGGGCACACACATATAAAGGGAGAGGAGAATGTCTGTGGAGTGGGGAAGAACAAGTATGGTGGGAAGATACGGCTGTAGGGGTGGGGAGGAAGAGCCAGGAAAAACTTCCTAATAACCCACCTACTGTTGGCCTGTCGAGACCAGTACTTGGTCTTCCCCAGCACTTCTGGGCATCTTGTGTGTGACTGACTTGTTCCGTTTGGCATTTCTCATTGCCTACTACCAGACTGTACTGGAGGGCAGGGGCTTGTTTCTACTCCCCATGGGACCCCTGCTCCTAGAGCAGTAGCTGTTGGGGACCTGGCAGATACTCGGCGAATGCCTGCTGCATCCTTGAGTCTGTGCCACCACCAAAGGCTCTACCTCAAAATGACACTCCTGTCACATAAATGGTGAAGACACAGCGGGAAAGGTATGAGTCGTAGGAGGAGGGTACCCCACCATCAGCTGTCCTGAGAGGGAGCCCTGCTGGGCCCACAGCAAAGGGGGCATGTGCTAAGCCTCCCCTGGAAGAGGGGAGATGTGTGCAGGCCCTCATGTGCTACCCTATTCTGATGCCACCCCCTGCTGCCACCTCCCCAGCTCTCCATGCTGTTCACAGAGGAGTGTGACAAGGTGAGGGATCTGATGCACGTGCACTCGTTCAGCTATGACTTCCACCTGCGCCTGGTGCACCAGCATGTGCTGGGCGCCCATCTGGTGCTGCGACACGGCTACCACCTGACCACCTTCCTGCGGCACTTCCTGGCCCACCACCCAGATGGACCCCACTTTGGCCGCAATCACATTTACCAAGGTTGGTGCCAAGGGCGGGTCAGAAAAGGACTAGGTCAACAGGTGTCCCCACACCTGAGCAAGCAGGCCCCTACTTGATAGTCACCTCTTAGCACTTGCACCACATCACCATGCTCTCTCCTGCGTCCGTCTCAAGTTCTCCACTGTCAGTTTCATGTTACAGTTTGGACCTTGTATCGTATGGATCCTGCCTCTGTTCTGAGCCCACTTTCATCCCTGGGAAAGCAAGGTCTTGGCCTCTCTCCGTCCCCACCCCCAACCCCATACTCAGTGTCTGCTGTCCCCTGTAACTTGCCTGCAGGGACTTTGGAGCTGCCCACACCCTTGATCGCGGCCCACCAGCTGTACAACTATGTGGCTGACCATGCCAGCTCCTACCACATGAAGCCCCTGCGCATGGCCCGACCGGGGGGCCCAGAGCATAACGAATATGCCCTGGTGTCGGCCTGGCACAGGTGAGGCTTGGGGGGCTGACGCTAGGATGGTGTCTGCAGTAGACGGAAAGACCCATGGTCTTCTGGGGCGGGACAGGTGGGACTGACATCCCCACTCACTGTACAGCTCTGGCTCCTACCTGGACTCCGAGGGTCTTCGCCACCAGGACGACTTTGACGTCTCTCTGCTTGTCTGTCACTGTGCTGCACCCTTCGAGGAGCAAGGAGAAGCCGAGCGGCATGTCCTGCGGTCAGCAGCTCCCATCGCCCCACCTGCCCCCAGCTCTTGCCCTGTGTGTGTGTGTGTGTGTCTCTGGCCATGACCGGTTTCCCTGTCCCACTGCCCATCTCAGGCTGCAGTTCTTTGTGGTGCTCACCAGCCAACGAGAGCTCTTCCCAAGACTGACGGCAGACTTGCGCCGGTTCCGGAAGCCTCCCAGGCTGCCCCCTGAGCCTGAGGTCCCTGGGAGCTCAGCCGGTAGCCCCGGGGAAGCCTCAGGGATTGCTCCAGCCCCTGGACCAGCTCCTCTGTTCCCACCACTGGCTGCAGAGGTAGGCATGGCACGGGCACGGCTGTCACAGCTTGTCCGGCTGGCTGGAGGCCACTGCCGTCGGGACACTCTCTGGAAGCGCCTCTTCTTGCTCGAGCCCCCGGGGCCTGATCGGCTCCGCCTAGGAGGCCGCCTTGCCCTGGCAGAGCTGGAGGAGCTCCTGGAAGCAGTGCATGCCAAGTCCATTGGGGACATTGACCCCCAGCTGGTAAGACCCAGGGCCTCTCTGCAGGGCTGGGATGGGTGCCAGCATCCACAGGCAGCACACTCAGGCCTGCGGACCATTCCCCCAGGACTGCTTCCTGTCCATGACAGTCTCCTGGTACCAGAGCCTGATCAAGGTCCTCCTCAGCCGCTTCCCACAGAGCTGTCGCCACTTCCAGAGCCCCGACTTGGGAACCCAGTACCTGGTAAGTGCCCCCGAGCCGCCTCCTAGGACATGACTGATGTCCCCTCGAGGAGCCCCAGCCTGAGCAAGCAGAAGGCCTGGATGGAGTGGCTCATGCTTTGTCAAGCCCTCGAGTTCAGAGCACTGAGGGAGCAGGTGACAAACCAAGAGCTCTGCCCGCAAAGGCCACCCACAATAAGCCTCAGCTTCACAGCCAGGGGCTAAGCTCTGCCCTGGCAGCCCTGGCAGCACTTCCGTGGCTGGGCGCGGAGGCTGCAGGCCTGGAGATACTTCTTTTTTTTTTTTGAGGGTGAAAGAGATTATTAAAAATGGAAAAATCAGGGACAACGGCATGAAAAAGCCCAGACACACTTCCTTTCAAAAGGAGTGGAGGCCCTTAAGGATGTCTAACCATCCTGGTTGAAGTCTTCCTGCTCCCCCCCCCACTTTTTTTTTTTTGTGGGTAAAACCATTTTTTCCACATAATTTTTTTTTTTTCTGCATCTGGGGTAAGGGGGAGATAAAGGGAGAAGCTCCACCCAGCCTACCACCCATTCCAGGTCCCTGACATGGGGCATGCTCCGAGGGCACTGCTCAAGTGGTTTTGCTAGTTCAACAGTTATGAATTGCTGCCAGTCTCACCATTCCAAGCACAACAAAATCCCTCCAGAATCCACTGGCTGACATAGTTCACCTTAGAGTCACCGTTTGCCCAGATTTTCACTGCCAACATATGACTGGGTAGTTGATTGATTTGTTCTGTCCTCCGTCCTCTGTCGTGGTACCAGGTGTCCTCTGCAGGTTCCGATGGTCTGCCATATCCTCCATGTGCACCTGGATGTGCTGTCCACTGCTCCGTCTGAGCCTCTGAGGAGGCCCAGCTATGACACATGCACTCCATGGCAGACCATGTTACCTGCACTTCTCTCTTCATGGTTGGGGTTCTGAGATCAGCAATTCAGTTGAAGGGATCCCCAAACTTTGTCTGAGGTGATTCCAGACCTGATTCTTGTGTGTGCATGCCAGTACCGGAGTCTGGCACAGTCCGTTGCCCCAGTCAGCTTATGAATATGCAGTGGTTGCAATTGCTGGGTTGGTTCTGTTTCCAGCCCTATTTTCCACACAAACCAATGGGTGTTGCAGTCCAGCCTGATTCTGCCCACCACACACTCGGCCCTCACACAAACCAGTGGGAGCTGCGGCCTAGTTGGAGTGACCTGCAATAACCCCCACCAGGCCCACCCCATGTCCTGGTTTCCATGCTTGCCAGTATGTACAGCAGACTGGTCCAGTCTGTCCCACAACACATTCAGCTCTCATACATGCTGGAGATACTTTGCCTCCAGGAGGGCAGGTGCAAGAGACAGGATTTGGAACATATTGAGGGGCCTGCTGCCTAGGCCTGTGAGGCAGGTGCATTTCCAGGTATACCAAGAGGCAAGTGGCGATGTTGAGGGCAATCAGGATGAGGCTGCAGCAGTATAGCTGGCTCACGCAGGTAGGGGTGTCCCTGTGAGGTTGAGCGGGGGAGGGGAGGAACACTGAAGCAGGAGCGGGTCTGGAGGCAGCATTGTTCCACAGGGCCAGGTTGAGGATGAGGTCTGTGACGCTCTCAGCCTTCTGGAAGGGATGTGGGCACTGGGGACACTCCTGCGAGAGACTCAGGCAGGAGCTCTGCAAGTGGGAACTGGCAGAAACTGCAGCCTGCACATTAGGGAGCAGTTGGACAGAGAGGCCAGGCCCACAGGAGGCTGGAGGACTGAGAGCCAGACCTGCCAGGGGGCAAGGCCATGTGGTGGCCAGGGTGGCAAACAGTCCTTCCTAGCTTAGCTACAGTAGGCCAGGCTTTACACAGCCTGCAGGCTGCCCCTCAGGATAAGGCAAAGTGGCAGACCAGGGCGGGCGTGGGCGGAGGTCCATTTTGGCAACATGGTTCTGAACAGCCAGGTGTACAGGTGGGACAGGAGGGGCTGTGGAGCCCCTCGCTTCCCCCAACTCCTGCTGGGGCAGGCCTCGCTCCCTAATCACTGTGCACTTCCTCGCAGGTTGTGCTGAACCAGAAGTTCACTGACTGTTTTGTGCTAGTGTTTCTGGACTCACACCTGGGAAAGACGGTGAGAAGGGGCTTCAGCCCTTTTAGAAGCCATACCCTAAATGTTCCACCTTAGAGCTTGCCAAGGCTGGGGTGTCTACTCTTTCCTCGCCCTGCCCCCTGCCCATACCCCTGGCCTCCTCTCACTCCCACACACCCTGCTGTGTTCCCCACAGTCTCTGACAGTGGTCTTCAGAGAGCCCTTCCCAGTGCAGTCCCAGGATAGCGAGAGCCCCCCGGCCCAGCTGGTCTCCACCTACCACCACCTGGAGTCTGTCATCAACACGGCTTGCTTCACCCTCTGGACCCGGCTCCTCTGAGATGGCAAACCCGCGAGGGGCAGCGCCAGCAGCTCCATCTGGGCAATGGCTCCCCTACCCCAGGCAGCACTGACCCCTGTGGCAAGCCCAGAAGCACACACACTGACACTAGAGGCTTTGGGAAGAAATCTGGATCAGCCTGCCCCAACAGCCCAGGAGTCCTCAGGATCAGGCTGACTGCCCGATGTGCCCGCAGCTTCTGGGCCCTTGCTGCCCCGTGGCGACGCCCCCACGTCCAGCAAGCACGCATGCCCAATAGCTTCCCACCGCTATGAGCGCTATGAGTCCTGCCGCCCAGCCTTTAGCTGCTGTGGCTCAGCCCCGTGGACTTGGTCGTGTACTCAGATCTTAACGCTGAGCTGACACGTTGGTCCTAGCCCCTGCTCTGCTACTGAAGCACCCCCTACCACCACCAAGGCCCTTTGTTCTCAGGCCATGGTTTCTTGCCCCTGATGGATGCGTGGGCCCCAAAGTCCTCCCTGCTGTTCAGAGCCCTGGCACCTATGGGTGGGTTGGGGGGAACCCGCGCTCCCCCAGTGGAGAAACTCAAGTGTATGACACTGTGTGTCTTTCCCCGTCCCTGGTAATAGACACGTGAAAAATGGTCAGCAGGCATCTTTAATTCAGACTCGGGGTGCTCGCTCACCGTCCCCAAGAGGCATCTGCGTGGTATCCGTTGGTGTCAGGGCCTCATTGGCCAGCCTGCGGGCTGCCTGACTTGTTCCAATAGGCATGTAGCCAGTTCAGGCCCTCCACCGTGTCTCCTGCAGAAGGAGGGCAGTGGCATTTCCAGTCTGGCAGGGGTGAGGAACAAGCCTGTCCACAGCCTGTCCTCCAGGGCCCTGCGCATGCCCAGAGGCCCTCCCAACCCCCTCACCTTGAGGCCGGTACTCGCAGCCCACAAAGCCTTGGTAGCCCTCATCTTCCAGCAGTTGGAATAGGTAGGGGAAGTTCAGCTCTCCAGGACTGCTGGGCTCCCCTCGACCTGGCACCTGTGCCACCTGCACGTGGCCTGGGAACAAACAGGGCAGATGTAGGGCCTGAGGGACAGAGGGGGAGTGGAGCAGTGATGGGAAGCTGCACAGAGGACTGGGCTGGAGCCAGGGAGGGGACCCCTCACCGACGATGGGCAGGAACTGGCGGATGTTTCCTGTCAGGTTTCCATCCATGATCTGCCAGTGGAACAGGTCCTAGGAGGCAGGAACGCCAGGGTCAGGCCCCACTCCTCTTCCCAGATTCAGGGGACATGGACCGGCTGAGGAGGGCTCCCTGTCGTCCACTCACCATTTGTAGTTGCAGATTAGGTCTCCCAACTTTCTGTAGGATGGCTGCCGCTGGGGGAGAAGCCGGGTCCAGGGACATGAGATGGAGAAGAGCACGGGGACCATAAAGGACGGGAAGGGGCACAGGCCAGGGGGCCTACCCTGCTGGGGCGTGTCCAGGAAGTACCGGGGATCACTGACGCGGGTGTTGATGGGCTCCAGCAGTCCCACGAGGTTCTCCTGGCCCCGTGTTGGAGGCTGTGAACAGAGCTGCTCCCCGAGGCTGTCCCTGCCAGCCTCAGCTGCTCCCCCCAACATGCACCTGCTCCACGTGTGTGTCCACCTGTCTCACCTGAGCTAGAACCTCAGCTGCGTAACGCAGGTTCTCCAGAAAAACCGTCTCCATCTCTCCTTGGACTGCTGCCCGTTCGGCCCCCTGCGGCACTCGACCAGCCATCAGGTGCACCCTGTGGGGAAGAGGGGACCAGAAGCCAGCCTTCTGCATTCCTCCTTGGAATGTCCAATGCCCAGAGTCTCCTGTGTCAGCCTGAGCTCCAGAAAAATCCTCCCTCATTTATTGCTTCCTCAGCTTTCAACCCCCATTCCCTGGGATCTCCTAAGCAGGCTCTTTAAAAGCCACCCTGACCTTTGACCTCCTGCAGCCACCTGCCAGCTTCATCTCCTTGGCTCTGCTTTCAGCCCCTCCATGCCCGTTAACGGCTTCCGTGTCACCAGGATATACACTAGGCTCAGTATATATGACCTCTGCAGGAGGCCACACTGGCTCAGCACATTCGCACATCCTCCTGCCACCACCTGTTCCTTCTCTGCCCACATTGATGGGTAGCAGATGCTCCAGGCTTTGCCAGCCCCAAGAGCCCACACGACCTGCCTTACAAACCGCTGAACACACCTGCTTCTTGGTGCCAGTTTTCCCTCCTACCCTGCCGGCCAAGGGCCCTCCTTCAAGGTGCAGGTCAAGGGTCATTAGCTGTGATTAGCTTTCTCCCATCCCAGACAAGCCTAGGTGCCTGCCTCAGTTTCCAGAATGGGTGCCTGGACAGACATCTCTTGTCATCTCGCTGGTGGGATGGACCAGCCACCAGAGTGCGGTCCCAGCAAGGGACTTGGCAAACAGAACAGATACACACAGAAGGACCGGGTGTGCAGGCCATGAAAGGCACGCACACCCTGCCGCCTCCGTCCCAACTTTTCTCCCAGACCCGGACCTCCAGGCAGGGACCCAGGTCGCCGGTGTAGAGGGACGGGTACCTCGGGCAGCCCAGGACCTTGGCATACAGCACAGCCTGCTCCAGCCCCTCTCGGAAGGCCGCCTGTCTCCCGGGAACGGCACCCAGCCCCATCTCCCCCTTCTCTTGATCTCCTGTAGAGAGAAAGGGGCTGAGTCCCAGCTCGGGCACTCGCGGCGACCTCCCCGCGCGCCCCGCCGGCCCCGCAGCGCACCCGGGGGCGTGTTGATGAGCACCAGCCGCAGTCCTGCATCCTTCGCCGCGCGCGCCAGCGCCTCGGGGGCCTCGGTGTACGGCCAGGCCACCTCCGCCGCTTCGAAGCCCGAGCTGCTGGCGGCGCGGAGGCGCGCGGGGAGGTCGGGCAGCTCGGGGAACAGCCAGGACAGGTTAGCGGAGAAGCGCAGCGGAGCCATGCCGGCAGCGCGGGCAGGGCAGAGTCCGCGCGCCGACCGGAAGGCGGAAGGCGGGCGCCGGGTTCTCCCAGGGCGCGGGGAGGGTGCAGCGAGGGGCGGGGCCGGGCGGACGGGCGCTGCGCTGCCGCTGGGCGCTGCGCTGCCGCTGGGCGCTGCGCTGCCGACGGCCGCTGGGGAGGTCCAGGAGCCACTTGAGCTCTGAGTGGACATACGCCGAGACCTAGTATTTACCCCGGTAAAAACATGATGCCTGTTCCTTAAACTCTACGACCAAAGAAGGAAGTCGTATATCACCCCTTACCACGCTGCTAGCCTAATTTTCCCATACAGATTGGAAAGTGTATTGGCAATTTTTTTTTCCTGAGGACGTTGGTTCCGGAATTTATCCCACCGCCTTGAGCAGAGGAGTTCCACACGAGATAATGCAAAAGCAAAGGAACTAGCGCACTAGGGTCCAAGTCTCATCCAACGCAGCGGAGTCTTGACAAGGACCCCCATCTTACATTTCACATAGTTCATATAGGGTTTTGGCTACAATTCTAGGAATGGGCCATTAATTCCGTGAATAAACACAGGTAAGATTGAGATCGGTCAGTTTCTATTGCCTGTGACCACTCTGGTGGTAGGTGTCTCTTATCCGTGCCCACCCCAGTGGTCAGCCTCTATCGCCTGACCACCTGATGACTAGCGACTTTCCAAGTCTCCTCTGATTGGTCGGCTCTGTCCAGGCTGTGTGACAGCTCGCTTCAGGGAAGCAGATGCCTCAATTCTAGGGACTGAAACTTGGGCCTGGCCTGTCCGAGACCTTTCATGACTGACTTGGTTCCCCTTGCAGCAAGTGAAGCACTCGTTACAGAAGACAAACTTAGTGGTTAACTTATCAATTGATTAATCAGCATCACTTTGACATCACTTATCTTATATTCTAATCATCTTTATTAGTTACTCATTCAATGCTATCCCTTAACCTTAAATTTCTATAATCACCTAATGCTATTTATTAACACATGTCAGCCGTACCTGGGGTTTTCTTGCCCTTTTTTCCTTGTGTTGCTGTCTTCTGAGCCTGTCCCGCGTTCTTCAATGTGCTTTAAAGCCATCGCATTAGCTGCTTATCACGGCACACCTAGGCGGTTCTCACAGTGTGACAGGTAGTGGACTGAGAATCCCCTGCTGTCCCCAGACTGCCCAAACCGCTCCCCGTCTGCACCTCCCAAGGTGTCGGAATCCAGAGCCTTTCTAAGGATCGTTTGGAGGAAGTTACTCTTATCTACAACATCCCAAGTGAGTGGGCAGATTCTTCCAGGTAGAATCTTTTCAACCCTTGCCAAGGCTATTGTAGATGGCTTTGCAAAGACGTGAATGTATCTTCCTACCACCCACCCACCAGCAGGGGTCGTCTTGGCTTCTTCCCGGCGCTGTCCTCCAAGGAGAGAAGCCAAACACGCCCCAAAGCAGCACCAAATGCCAGATGCAGTTGATTCAGCCCCTGCCTGACTCCGTCCTAGGCAAAAGCCACCGGAGCACTAAGGGTCCAGGCTGATGCTATGGTCAACGCACCTGCCTGGCAGGCTGTTTGTTCAGTTCAAGCTCAAAGGCAGACCGACACCAGCTCGCCTGATCACCCAAGGCCCAGCCCCTGAGCGCGAACTTCATGCAGGGACCTCTGGCTTGTACTGGAAGGTTTCCTGAGAGTAGCCCAGTAAGGCTGTGACCTCACCATGTTACATTTTTGTTTTGTTTTTAAAGATTTATTTGTTTGTTTTTATTGCAAAATCAGATATACAGAGAGGGGGAAAGACAGAGAGGAAGATCTTCCATCTGATGATTCACTCCCCAAGCAGCAGCACCGGTGAAGCTGAGCCAATCTGAAACCAGGAGCCAGGAGCCTCTTCCGGGTCTCCCACACAGGTGCAGGGTCCCAAAGCTTTGGGCCGTTCTTGACTGCTTTCCCAGGCCACAGACAGGGAGCTGAATGGGAAGCGGGACTGCCAGAATTAGAACCGGTGTCCATATGGGATCCTGGCGTGTTCAAGGTGAGGACTTTAACCGCTATGCTATGACACTGGGCCCACCATGTTACATTTTAATCCATTCCATCTTCATCCTGTTTGCAATCCAAAATGGACCAGACAGACTAACTTGTAGGCGTGGTAATTCCTTTATTAACCCTTCCCTGGAAATCTCTCAGTAAGCAGATCCTAACCCATCTATTACATTCTGCATCAGAAACAAATTTGTCCACCTCCAATCCCCAGGCCCTTCCATCTGTGCTGCTGGTTTTTTTTTTTTTTTCAAGACTTATTTATTTTTGGTGGAAAGACAGATTTACAGAGAGGAGATAAAGAAAAAAAGGTCTTCCATCCATTGGTTCACTCCCCAAGTGGCCACACAGCCAGAACTGAGATGATCCTAAGCCAGGAACTTCTTCCAGGTCTCCCATATGAGTGCAGGGTCTCAAGGACTTGGGCTGTCCTCGACTGCTTTCCCAAGCCATAAACAGCGAGCTGGATGGGAAGAGAAGCAGCCAGGACATGAACCAGTGCCCATGTTGGATCCTGGCACATGCAAGGCGAGGATTTAGCCACTAGGCTACCGCGTCAGGTCTCATCTGTGCTTTCTTTAAGGCGGTAGAAATGGTACATAAATGGGGTGCATGTAATTCATTTTCCCCTTAATTCCTACAACACTTTCTACATAATACACCAAAGTAAATGTGTCTGTGCAGTATATGTAGGTTATTTCCTTTTTGATGTTGTTTTCCTAGTTTTAAAAATATTTTATTTTATATGAAAGTCAGAGTTAAAGAGAGGGTAGGAGGAGATAGATCTTCCATCTGCTGCATCCGTCCCCAAGTGCCTGCAACATCCGGAGCGGGGCTGGTACGAAGCCAGAAGCTTCTTCCTGTTCTCCCACACACTGCAGGAATAGAAGCACTGGGGTCATCTTCTGATACTTTCCCAGGCCATTAGCAGGGAGCTGGATTGGAAGTGGAGCAACTGGGACTCAAATGGGTACCCGTATGGCACCAGCCCCTGTTGTCCTTTTAAAAAGTTTATCTATTTTCATTTTATTTGAGGAAAAGAGAGACAAAAAAGAGCAAGATCTTTAATCAGCTGGTTTGCTCCCCAAGTGCCCACAATAGCTGGGGCAGGGCCAGACCAAAACCAGGAGCCTGGAGCTTCATTGCTGTATCCAAGCAAGGCAATACAGAGAAGTGCCATGCACTGATTAAGACTTGGAAGTCCTAGGCCTGGAGCGATAGCCTAGTGACTAAATCCTTTCCTTGCATGCAGCAGGATCCCATATAGGTGCTGGTTCATGTCCTGGCTGCTCCACTTCCTATCCAACTCCCTGCTTGTGCCCTGGGAAGGCAGTTGAGGATGACTCAAGAGCTTATGGACCCTGCATCCATGTGGGAAATCCAGAAGAAGCTCTTGGCTTCGGATCAGCTTGGTTTCGACCATTGTGACCACTTGTGGGGTGAACCAACAGATGAAAGATCTTTCTTTCTGTCTCTCCTTCTCTTTGTAAATCTGACTTCCCAATAAAAACAAAATAAATCATATATATATATATATATACTTGGAAGTCCTTTACTGCCAGTGGTGGAGAGGGGCATTGTGCCCTAAAGACCTCACAACCCAGAACTGCAGAACAATGGAGTTTATAAAGGCAACAGTCACAAGCCAGGAGGGGTACAGGGGGCTGAGCTAATGCAGAACTACCTTAGGATAAAACAATTACTAGCTTTGAAGCTTTTGCTGCTCTATCAAATAAAACTGCTTTTTCTCCTAGGAACGCTTCAACAACCTAGGCAGGGGTTTGAGTGTTCTTGCCAAGCAGTATGCGGTTTTCTCAGCCAGGCTATAGTCTCTCCAAAGATGGGGTCCAGCTCCACATGGAGCCCCTCGTGTCAAAACTCTTATTTCACCGTCTGGGAGTCCCATGTGGCTGGCAGGGACCCGAGTACTTGGACGAGCCTCTGCTGCTTTCCCAGGTGCACTAGCAGGAAGCTCCTTAGGAAATGGAGCAGCCAGGACTCGAACCAGAGCTCACATGGGACGCTGGCCTTGTGATGGCTTTACTGACTACACCGCAACACTACCCCTGCTCTTAATTTTTTCTCAAAGAATTTGCACAAATGTAATGTTTAGCCAAGGTGACAGCAATTTATAGTTGAACACTTGAGTATGGAATTCAGAGTCTTATCTGGTCACTGAACACACTTGCCCATGTTGGTAAAGCATTGCAACTCATGTGTCAGATGCAAACAAAACCTCCCTAAAATTCCCTTTTATACCTTCCAGGCTGGCAAAAATATATATTTTTCAAAGAGCAGCAGACAATACCAAATATTGGATCAGATTTGGAACACCTGAAGTATTTGCCCACTCACTGCTGATAGAATGTAAATCACTACGACCATTTTGGGAAACAGTCCCAAGCTCTTCAAGCTCACACACCTTTGATCCGACAGTTCCTTTCCCAGGTACAGTCCTGGAAGGAACTTAGCTTCAAATGTGCCAGGAAGCAAATCAGTGATGTTCATAGCAGCACTGCTTATGCAGCTGGAAGATGGCAGTAACGCCTACGCCATCAGCACGCACACAGGTGCGCTGCACCAAAGCCACACAGTGTTGGGGTGGCCCACACGGTGAAATGGATTCTGCTGTTATATCAGCACCACAAGGGAGGAGGTGAGTCAAGTCTGGTTCCAACCGGAACCATCCAGAGGAGGGCGTTAAGCGGGTACATCTCAAACACAATCCCGACACAAAAAGCTAAATCACTTAGCAATGCAGATGGGTCTGTTTGGAGAAAGCCAAAGGTCAGGTTTGCCTACAGCAGTGTCTGTGGTGGAGGCACAAGTGTCTGTGCAAACCACGTGTCTGAGCGTCCCACGGTGGCCTCTGGAGGGAGGGGAAGGGCTTGTCAAAGAAAACCCCAGAGGTCATTTTCATCTTGTCTCTTCCAATCACAGAGGTTAGTTTTGTTAAGGTTTATTTATTTATTTTTTAAAT